ACACGGCCCTGCTGGCGAGATCCACGAGCCAAGCGCATGTCATAAGATACTTGCAGCAACAGGCAGACAGATTGGAAGAGTAGGCCAACCTGTGGAAGCTCAGTATAAACCCTGACAAGAGTCAGGCGATACTATTCACTCGCAGGCTTGTACAACCGGAATGCAACGTCACCTCCAACGGACAAGAGATTCCGTGGACCAACAAAGCGACATACGTGAGGGTCATCTTAGACAGGGAATTAACATTTCAGTCTCACGTACGGCAGAGAATCGGAATGGCTAGACATGCCAGACAACGACTGGCACCTATCATAGGACGCAGAAGCAACATGGGGTTGAAAGTGAAGTCACTGATGATCAAAACCGTTCTCATGTCCATAATAATGTATGCCTGCAGTGCCTGGAGCCAGTGCGCACAGACATACAGGAAGAAGATACATCAGAGGATAAAATCAGATCGCACAACAACCCAGCGCTACACGATCTACACGATGCGTTGAATATGGATGACCCCAAGTTCCGAGAAAGGGACAAACATCCAAGGCCGACAAAACAAAATCAACAACCACCCCCACGAGTCTCCGTCAGGCGACTCAGGTAAGCATATAACTAATCAGATAGACTCTCTTTCAGGTAGGTTCAACGCAGAACAATTCGACCGCGACCGCGATTCACTTTTCCTTAGACTCACTGAGGAATGCTCGACGCTAAAACACAATAGCCGCCGCGCCGGTTAGTTTTTGGGGGCCCCCATGCACAAATTCAGTTAGGAATAGTCATGACAAAACAAATAACTGATCAGAAAGTACAAGCACCTTAAAGCTGACTTTCGACCAAAAGAGGTCAGATGTCAATCTTGCTGAAGTGACCATCAGTAAGTTGAGGACCGCTCGGAGAGCGGGGGTGGATGGAGTGGAGTATTAGGATTTCCTCGCAAACTAGTTGTGAGGCGAAACTTTTACTTCAGGCCACTCAACCCGGAAGGGCGCATGGGAAGGGGATATCTTAGATCAACCTAAGGAGTAGGCAGATTGAGACCTTAGAGAGAACTCATGACGAGACCTGGAGAGTAGGCAAATTAAAGCCCCGGCATCAAGTAACATCAATTTCTTGAAAATGGTTCCAAAATGGAAGCCGAAACGTCTAACACAAAACTCCAGGCGCGGTTTAACCGAACTCAACGACAACTCCTGACCACGGAAACCAAAACCCATTCGAACACGATCTGCTTCCTACTATATCACATGGGTGAATATGCCAAACTTCTGGGTGTTATACTCGATGATACCTTAAATTGGTCGAAACATATTGAATCAATTTGCTCTAAATTGTCTAGTGTGGTCTTTATTTTAAGACAACTGAGGAAAGTGGTGAGTGAAGATGTTTTGTTAAATACCTATTACGCACTTTTTCACTCCCATATAGCATATGGTCTAACTCCATGTTTTTTTTTTCCTACATACAAATGCAATTATATTCTGACCCATTTTTTTCCAATTTTTGTAATATGACTTGCTACAAATGTAATTTACATGAACGTAGTCAAATAAAGTATGTCTATAGGTATAGTTGTTAATTTTTCTACCCGAGTTCTTCTTGCTTGACGTCTTCTCCCCGTAAACGTTTGAAATGTTTCAGTTCTTTACCTCAACACAAATTGTGTTAAAATCATTTAAAAATAACCAATGGCGCATGTACCGTTGGAGAAAAGTGATCTGTATATAGAGAGTATTTACAATTTTAATGTATCGCAATAACATTCCTCTACTATAATTCCAAAAACAGTAGGCAGTAAATTCTCAGAAGTGACTGAAGTTTTTGCCTCAATCTGTCTCTTGCAGTGGCGTACGGAAATATTATCTGTTTAAAAAAAAAAAAAATCCGTTAACCAGCTGTCGCACCCCTACGAACAACAACCCTCCGAAGTCGAAACTTGTGCGAGCTAAGGATTAACGAGGTCTTACCTTTTAACGTGTGATTCCTAACACAGGAGGACCTATTAAACATATGAGGAAAAATGATGATAAACTATATAGAATCACAACCTTGTTGTAACAAGGCAATAATATTTCTAAGAATTTAGTGCCTTCTATTATGTAATTAGTTGTACCAGACTAAAGTACTTAGATATCTACTATACAGGCCGTTCGTTTACGGGAACTCTCGCTCTTCTCGAGTTATACGGGGAAAACAGTTTTTTTTTAATGGAATTATTATTTCGGAGAATATCGAAAAATGGAAAAAGAAAATGTTATTGTATACAAAGTGTACTATGACGATGAATAATAAATATTCGATGAAACATTTCGTGTCTACATGGCCACCATCAACTTTTTTTTCCAAATACGGACCTGTCTTTTTTATTACATATATTGATAAAGCAATAAATTCACAATCCAAAGGTATGTCATATTTGATTTTTTTTATAGCGTTTCATTTTAAATAACCACCATCATCAGTGACAACAATCAAACAAAAAAAATATATTTTATCATGAACTTTTGGGAAAAATGAAACCAGTACGGAAAATCAAAGCTACATGGCAATCTACATGAAATACTCGAATTGACGACCTCTTTGTTGAATGCACATAGGTTGTCGGTCCAGACAATTTCTGTGGCAATTTTCTAGCATAATAGGTGTAATACTAATACACGCATCTCTTATTTTTTGTTTGAGATGGTCGATATCTGTACTTGTTGAAAAAACTTTATCCTTTGTGTAACCCCAGACAAAAAACTATAAAGGAGTAAGATCTGGGGATCGCTTTATCAATATCTGTAATAAAAAAGACAGGTCCGTATTTAAAAAAAAATAAGTTGATGGTGCCCATGTTGACACGAAAAGTTTCATCGAATATTTATTATAACATCATCATAGTCGAATACAATAACATTTTCCTTTTCCATTTTTTGATATTCTCCGAAATAACAAACAATTCCATTCGAAAAAAAAAGAAAAACAGCATTTTTTGTTTTCCCCGTATAACTCGAGAAGGGCGAAAAATCCCGTAAATTTTCTTCGACCATTGTATTGTTCCCGATGACAGTTTAGAATGTAGCAATGTTACCACATGATAAAAGGAACGGCCTGTATTTATAAACTTCTGTGAAGTTCAAAATAAGTTTTTGATAAATTGTTCATTTAACTTGGGCATTCAATGGTATAATCATGATTGATTGAATATCCTACAAGAATTGAACTTCAACTCATTCCATGCGTTTATATATCATAATTTACAAATTTCAATCTCAGGCAAAATCAATCATTTGTTCAAGTTAGACTTTCATTCCACAAATTCTGGCAAATACTCACCTATCGAAATAACAGAAAAGTTAGTGAATAGCCAGGATATAGACATACCGGGGAAATCTTACAACAGATTAAAAAAATAATTAGGTAAAATTAATTTGTTAATAAGGATTTTCTTTCTGATAGTGTATTTGTGAAATATGCTATATCCACCCTTAGTTGGTTATGTTATTCAAGTATATTTGTATTTTTTGTTAAGATTTTTATTGTGATGGGGTTTACCCCGTGAATAAATAAGTTGATAACATATCCAGACTCCTGAATTGTAAATAGATCCTAGCAACAGGTAGCATTTTGACTTCTTTTCTGCACATATTACACACGAAGACTCATTTAATTTGGACTGGTAAGTGATTGAAGTTTGATACTGTTGAATATAATTGAGTCACCAACTAGAGAGCTCAACGGTATAGGTATAGGCAGATCAATAGCATAACTACAGGAATTATGAGAAGGAATGGGCGTCACATAAGATGAATACATTTCTTTCCAGTTTCCAAAATAAATAAGGTAGCTAGTGTTAAGATACCAAGCACTTTGAAAAAAAACTTGTACATATTCCTGGGAGCAGCTCTTCAGAAGTACAAATTCACAATAAATCTCTACGGCAAACTTCCCAGGAGGCAATTCCTTTATCTATAATGGAGTTCTGTAAGAATGGGAATAGCCTAGTTCTGTAGACATGACTCTCAGTGTATAGTAAGCTTCATGCCTAAGTTTATTAAATGGTCCTTGAACTTCAGTTGATCATCAATATTTAACCCAAAAAGTTTATATTTATCCACCCTTTCTATGATTTCGTTGCCAAGGCAGATCTCAGTTGAGTTGCATAAAATAATCAGGATGCTGGGTTTTATTGATGTTGAAGGATAATTTATTACAGTTGTACCATTCTTTGATTTTGTTGATGTCTTCAGAGGTGACTTCAAAGAGCAGGAATTATCATCATCACACCATAATAAGTTGGTGTCACTAGCAAAGAGGGTGATAGTGACTGTTATACCTGTAAGAGCTAGGTCATTTATATAGAGAAGGAATGAAGGTAGGCCAACGATCAAACCTTGAGGCATACTAAATTCAATAGCCCGTTCAGAAGAGAAACTCAGTTATTTTAACTATTCTGAAGAATATGATCAAAACCACCAAGGATTTTTGTCTCAGAAGTCATTCTGTTGCAGCTTATTTAGAAAGACCACATGGTTCATCTGATTTCTCCTCATCGTGTAGTCGCTAAAAGCAACAATTGTGAAACATTTCCCTGCATTCGAGCACAACATAAGTCACTATTTTCTAATGAGATTTGTTTACACGTGGTCTCCGACTTCAGACAGAGTGGACTATAACATGTGTTATCAATTCAGTTACCGCCACAATTGTCTTATTATAATTATATATTTATTAACCATTGGTTACTTTTCTTACTACTTTTCATAACCTTGATATTGGTGCAAGTAGATCTGCCTCCATACAATCATCGACTGAAGTTTATCTCAGTAGTTAACATCTCATCTCAATTACTTGTTAATGAGACTCTTGAATACTTTTGGAACAGCGAAAAATATTTCTGTGATTTTCAGTAATGTTTTGATGTTACCTTGGAAGATAGGAAATGGAAGTCTAATGCTATCAAAAACTAGTAAATAATCAACAATCACAGAAACTGTTCTTAGAAAAATTACAGCCCTTACCATCCTTCATAGTTTTAGTTTGCGTGCTGGAAGTTGCACTACAGTGACTTTTATCAACTGTACAATACATAATAACACTTTTTCACTAAATTAGAAGTCACTCTCACCGAACTAATATGTTCATAATTATTATCTACAGTTTTCTAATCCATCAATCTATTTCATATAAACATACACAACAGCAAAACACAAAAGATTACTGTCAAAATACAAGTCAAAGTCAAAAGTCAAGTCACAACCAGGGTCGCTAACCATATTCCGTTTCCCTAGTTTTTAACGAAGTGATTTTTTAAATGTTAGTTTCGGTTGCAGTGTTGTTCGAGCCTATACTTTTGTCACAGATTAAATATCTGTGCTTTTGTTATAGATCTATTACTATATGATAAATTCTAATACGGTAATATGATCAGCATTTAACTACCCAGAATTGGCAACACTGATAAACACCGCAATACCACAGTATTTCTGTATACAAAATACTGTGGCAATACAATGAAATAAAAGTGGTACAACAAGTTACATACTAAGGCACAGTAAGCAGTCTACTGTGATTAAGGTTAAAATTTGATTCGAGTTGCAACTCTCGAAGTGCGAACGTCAGACTGACGAACCAAGTGTACTATTAACCTTTTTGGGATTTTTCTTCCTATCTAACCTTTTCCCTTCGAATATTATAACGTTGATAACAAATATTGGGTTGATTGATCAACATTTTTGAAAATCTGAGCATAAAAAGTGGTATTTTTTTTCATATTTAACGAAGCGATTTTTTTTAATGTTATATTGGGTTGCAGTGTTGTTCAAGCTTATACTTTTGTCACAGATTAAATATCTGTGCTTTTGTTATAGATCTATTACTATATGATAAATTCTAATACGGTAATACGATCAGCATTTAACTACCCAGAATTGGCAAAACTGATAAACACCGCAATACAATGAAATGAAAGTGGTATAACAAGTTACATACTAAGGCACAGTAAGCAGTCTTCAGCTTTCTACTGTGATTAAGGTTAAAATTTGATTCGTGTTGCAATTCTTGAAGTGCGAACGTCAGACTGACGAACCAGGTGTACTATTAACCTTTTTGGGATTTTTCTTCCTATCTAACATTTTCCCTTCGAATATAATAACTTTGATAACAAATATTTGGTTGATTGATCAACATTTTTGAAAATCTGAGCATAAAAAGTGGTATTTTTTTCATTTTTTTATATACATAAATTCTTGGGCAAGTAAAAAACTGTAAACGTGTTAGGAGATAAAGGGGGGGGGGCATACCTTCCCCCTCCAAAAACTCCATACTGATAACGATGACAACGAATAACGAAAACAGGGATAGCGCAAATGCGGAGGTAAAGATGAGCATCCTGGATTCAAACACCGAGAACTCAGAACTTCAAAGCAGTTCTCGTATTTTTTGTTAAACAAAACTCAGTAAACTCACCAATAAATTCACAAATCAATGATTTAATAGAGGAAAGTGATCAAACAGATAATGGAATAATGAAGTTTATGAAGGCCATACATAGTAGAATGAATACGTAGAATGAATCTCGGGGAAGAAATCTTAGATGGTTCTCTCATTTGAAAATAGCTAGGAAATATAATGAAAATAAAAAAGGTAATAATAAAACAGACATTATGAACCATGAGCAACTCAAAAATAAAGGGTACAAAGCATACATTCCATATAACATTATGACATGTAAAGCCATAGTCAAGGGAATTTCAACTTGTCACAGAAAATGAAATTAACCTATCAGTTTGTCAGCAAACTAGACGCATTACGCAAGAAAAAATCTCACCATTACAGAAAGTGCGCGGAAAATCAGCACTATAAATGAAATGACAGAAATGAGAGCTTCAGTTTCAGTTAATACGCCAAGAAGAGTAGGTACTTCGACCACGCCACTGAAGATGACTGCCACAGTTGCAGTTGAAATGTTTGAAGTCAAAGAAGACAACGGCAAAACCCGGAAAACAAACAAAACATTGATCAAAAGGTCTTATAAAGTGATTAATGAATAACAATGTTAGCGAAACATGTGATAGTTTTGAAATAAAGTTTATAAATATCAAATTGTACGGTATAGTTCATGACACCCATATATACGTACCACCAGTCACTCAATGCTTGTTTCATGATTTTTTGTTTATAGTGCACTTGATAGAAATTTCAAATTGAAAAACAGTGCACTTTGTTTCATCTCTCTAAATACCGCAGTTTTCCCGTAATTAATCATTAAAAATCGAATGTGGTAGTGTGGTGACGTCACGACCCTATTCCCGCTTCTTGTTCGATTGACCAATAGAAACAATAGAAATAATCAACATTGCCAAATCGTAAAATTCACGAAGCCTATAATTATCAATTCAATTGTGGAAGTGTATATGAACCCGTTAACGTTCCAATTAATGAAAAATTCTCCACATGGAATAAAATGTACACGATAAATCATGTTTGGAAATAAGTTCTATATCTAAAATCATTACACAAAGTCGATAGATCATAAAATATTTACCTGAACTATGATTTTATGCATTATTTAATAATATACAGTTATGAAAATCAAAAAATATAGCAAACTGGATGAAAGAATCATTTCAAATATTCAATTTATTCTACAATCCTCAATCTGTAGAACTGCAATTTATTACAAAAAAAACGATTCCTACATACATACCTCTTTCTAATATAGCTACTAAATTCAAGCGTTATAGACTCGCTTGGGTAATCTGTTGAAACTTCCAAAACTTGAGAGGAAGGTTGAATGAGGTCAAGTATAGACAGAATTGATTGTACTCGAACTGATCCAACAAAATCTTCTGAGGTAATACCAATTCATATGATAAAATTCAATGAAGTAAAATGTATCATACTTTCAGCAACAATATTAACTCCAGATAATACTTTCCGTGGAGAATACTTGAAGTTGAAATAAAAAACTGTGTTATTAAATTCAATATTTTTGTCTCGCTCTCATTCATAGTCACTTTTTAAATGAGACACGCGGCCAATTTAAATTCTTGCTTTTCGAATTATTCTTTTTTCTGCAAATTTAAGAGATTTTGAGACTGATTGGGCTTGACTAACTAGATCAGTCTTTAAGCAAACCAGTATCATTTTCCATAGCACGAAACAAGCTCATCTTTCTTTGAAATTTCATTAAATTACAGACTTTTACTGGGACGACGTTAGTTAACTCTGTTGGCAATGAAGTCCGTCAATTTCTCTAAGATGTAAATAATAGTTTTCAGAATAATAACAGCAATACAAAACCTCATAAGCAATCTGTTGAATTCAGCAACTTGACAATTCACAGATGTGGCGTTGCAAATAATGCAAGCCTAAATAAACATAATTTTTTTCATTTTCAGTTCCCGTAAATTGGCAAATTGCCCAAAATGCAGAGCCATTAGCCAATCAAGCAGAAGAATACACATAACCTAATTCACCAAGAAACAAATAAAAATATAGTCAGTCATTCTTTTCTTTTGTATTGTTGAAAATATTTTTATTTTTGTCCCTCTAAACGTTTCGATAAAAGATCCATTTTATTCAATCAGTAAAGTACTACGTAGTGGTACTTAGTTCTATACATTTCTCATTTCCATCAGATAATGATTATAGTTCATTGCGATGGTAAGAAGTGGTATATTATGGTTTTTTCATGATGTGAACATATATTATTTATTATAGGAAGAAATATCACGAGAAGACGCAAACCTATCGACTTGTCTAAAAAATTTGGAACTCGATGTTACTAATAAGAAGCCTATCAAGATCAACAACACCAAAGTCAATCCATTTATGCGAAGACGCTCCAAATCACTCTCATCTGTAAATTCCAGTACAGAATGTTACTGCAATGTAAAAAACTCGTATGTAAAACATAGTACATCATTCAAGAGACCAAATACTAAAGTTTTACGGGAACCTGTTCTAAAATTTGTAAAATACACAAAAAAAAATCACATTAAGCCTGTTTTGAAGACCAGTAATAAGTATGTCAAGAGAAGAGATAAACAGTTTGGAGATTGTTTTACTGATGGAAAACAAGATTTTAAGTCAATTGTGGACGCTTGCAATGATATGAGTTTAAATAATACTTTTGGCAAGTCTAATGAGTACAGTTCTCACAGTTTTTCAGTAGCACGTCCTCAGACAAAAATTCAAAGGACCACTGGTACAAATTCAGGCACAAGTAGCTGTTCTCATCAAGCTCGCATGAATATACACTCTCCATGTGATGTTACAATTGACGAACTAGCTAGTTATTTTGAGACTTTTGTACATATTCCCAAAAAAATGAGCTCTATGGCTGAGATGATGTATATTTGAGTTTGTAGATATTATTTCAGGTTACTGATAAATCGATGGTATTCATTAGTTGATTATGATATATTTATTATTTAGAATGAGATTCAATCATATTTTGATCAGATTGGTTTAAAATTTCATCAATTTTAATATTAAACTCTGTCAAAAAAACACAAAGATGATTATTTCACTTAAGATCTGTTTGGATTTCAGCTAGATATATATGAAAACATCGGTAGGAATATTTTTAGAACAAATAAGTACATTTGTTCTTGAGCTGAATATACATGTCCAAGATAAGGAGAGCCAATATGGAAAAATTGTTGACTGTGAGAGAAACGAAGTTGGTTAAATTAGAGTTCATTTAAATGGTGTTTCAAAATTTGAAAATATATATTATGCCTGATACATCGGTGAAGTTTGAAATAGAAAAGGTTATATTTTTTAGGAGTGATTAATTTTTGGGAAAGTTTTTGGCTTTCTTACTCCATCCTGATACAAAAAATGTGGGAATTTTCCAAAGAAAGAAAGGAAGCAATCAATTATAACTCTTACGATCAGTTTCAGTCTGTAATATAAAATCGTAATTTATGAATGAATTGTTTTTTTCTTACAACATTATTCAGTTTGGTACTGAAGAGCCCTAAGGCAAGTGTCTTACTGCAAAACATCGATGTTTACCAGTGAGAATGACAGTGTTTTATGTAAGTGAAATTTCTTACCTTTCATTTAGTACGTTGTGTAGGAATCCTGTGAATGAAATCTGATTCAATTCCATAACGAATGCTTGGAATACAAACTGAGTGGAGAAAAGTGTTTTTTTGTATAATTGTTTCAAAGGAATTTTTCATTTGTGTAATTTAATGTTTATATGAAAGAGCTGTTTCGAGATAGCTCTTTTTCCAGTTTGTGTCCGAAAGTTACTTCTTTGCATGATCTACACACCTTTGTAGAGTTACTTTTTTGAAATTGATTGCTCCGTTCCTTTCTTTGGAAGATTCCCACATTCTTTTGTATCAAGTTGGAGTAGTAGAAAGCCAAAAACTTTTTTTCCCATCAGTTAAGGTTTTGCCAAAAAGGCTTACTTATAAAGTGATTATTTTTTCTGCTCTTCATAGAAAACTCAAATTAGTGATGGTTTCTCAGAAACGAATCATCAGCAAACTCTTGTATAGCTTGAAAAGTGGAAATCAGAAAATTTGTTGATTTATGTCATCTTGAATTACGTTAGAGAATGGTTGACATGAAATTCGAAATTTTATTTTTTTTTAATATCTCCGAAATTGATTCCAATTTCACAGCTTAACTGGCATATGAGACCAATGAGTTCACAAGATTTATGATGTCGCCACTGGACTTGCGCTGTCAAAAAAAAAATTTATTGACCTCAAATTACATTTGCTTAGGTACATTCTACAGAAAATGTAAAAAATATACATACACTACATAAGAAAAAATTTCACACTACAACAGTTATGACTCATATATAGACATTCTTATATCGCCATATGAGTTCTTGGTCTCTGTAACTGCATTGAATTATGTAGCATTGAATAAAGGTCGTTTCGATGAAACGTTTTCAATATAAAAGTCAATAATATAACCACACAATAATTTCTAAAGCAAACCAATACAAAAATGTTCAGCACAAACTTTACATCTTAAATTTGTTTGAGGGCACTTTCTTGCTACGATTCTTCCTATTCTGGCCTTCAATTTCAAATAGCACAAAATGTAACGTCTTCTTGCTTTTCATCTGAAATCTTCTGATTTCTGAGCCGTTTCATTAGTTTTCTTAAGTCCAATTACTACTTGTTACCTGAATTCTGTGATTTGTATTAGTAGCTCTGTTGCTTATTTTCTGTACCACTTCAAAGCACATAGTGTAGAATTGTAGCTTTTTGCTTGATCAGATATATCGATGTATGATTTATATTTGTTATACTGAAACACATTGACTGGTTTTTGTGTATCTCCCATTCTTCTTTTGATGGTAACCATTTCATCCTTATATTTTGTGCAAAGTATTAGTATATCTCTTGGATCTTTCCATTTTTGCACAATGATTCTTAAATTACATTCTGGTGTCACACTTTCTCTAGTGTCTAATTTTGTGTTCAAGTTAATAATTCCAATCAAACGAGTCTGCCGTTCCAGCAACATATGTGAGAAACTATGTTGCTGTATGTCCTTTTTTGCAGATCGACTATCAAATTCATTACAAGTTTGTTGGGACATGGCTTCCTTGAGTTTGTTTGTTACCACAATAACTTTAAAATCATATGTATATGTATATATGGAATTATACTACATTTTGTTGTTTGACCAGTAACTTTCAACAGTCGGAAATGTGCACAAACCCATCCACATAATTATTCCTAAGAACTTCTCCATTTCAGTGTTACTGGTGTTATGCCATGTTGTTGAACAAGACTTGGAAAAATATTTTTTTCTATCAGTTGATATGCATTGGTACGTAGTCATTTCTCTCACCATCAGGTTCATTATATAAACATATACAAATGACTTGTAAAATTCGAATGGTCTCTTCTAAACTATGTCCTCATGAACTGTATGAATATTTTTTTAAAATCAATATTTCTTCATATATGTCCATTTCTTCGTCGGTAGAGTTGAATTTTCTGACATTAGTTATATTACTCTTTAAATTGTTTCGCTGTATTTCCTTGTTGGGATCTAAAGGCAATGTGTAATCTCCATCACAAAGAAATTATTGAAGAAGTTTTTCGAGATGGTGTTGTCCCTTTTCATACGACATTTTGAGTTCATAGCACAGTGAAATCTAAGACAATACCTTGCTAATTACCAGCATCCATATCATCCATATGCCCATCACACATTATATAAGTTGAAACAGGAAAACAAAGAATCAATGCATGGATAATAACACAGCATAATTTGTTTTGGTTGACTCGTGAAGTGCAGCGCAAGACCAATGTTTTACCATATGAAAAAAACGTCATTTCCTAAAAATAATTCAAATGGAATGTTTTTTAATTAAAAAACTATGTTTTAAATCATTTTAAATGGCAGTCGAAGTGTTAACAAATTTCTATAATGTGCGACTTTTCCCTAATTTCCGATTTTCCTATTGGCCCTCCTCATCTTGGACAAATAGTATAACGAATGTAATGAGAATCTACAACTCTTTTGTCACTGAAAAGCACTTTGGTGATAGAATACTTCATGTTTGAGAAGCCATGGTCTTGTGCGCTCCTTACTTTTATGAGCTTTTTTTTTCACATAAGTCAGACTCCATGCTTAGTTGACAGAAAACATCATTTACTGTATATCATATTTGTTTAAACTTCCTTCTAAACTAGTGTTCCTCCTTATGGATGACTGGTACATTTTTGCATCAATACGTGAAATTTGTATTTTCAATTATAAATAAATATTTTTGAAACTTTTTTAATCATTGACTTCATAAATTATAAAGGTGAAGTGTATGTGTTCCTGCAAAGACTCGTAGATTGCTTTATCCAGATGAAAAACTGATGAATAATCCCTGCCTTGCCAGCCTTATTAACATTTATCTGACAGTGCCGATCGAGAGATAGAATTTTGAAAATGATAAACTACAAATGCACTTGAGAAAATCAATTGTTATCCGAAAATAGGAAACAACACATACGCATGGAGTCAACAACAGGAGCTGACCGCACACTTGTGGTTCCAGTTAGAAGACCTAGAATTCCCAGGCTACATCTAACATGACCACGTAGGCAGCTATAGCTACCTGCGTGACATCCGGGTCCAGGTAAGTAAACAAAGATATACATGCTATCTACCGTGTATGATATAAATAAAAAATGAAACAATTCGTGGACACAGCACTCCAAAAAAGGACAAACCGCGGATACGTATTTCTGGCTATTGGTCTCATCAGCGTCGTGAAGCCAAGTGCAAAGATGTGCAACACTTATTTGCTGAAAATAGGAAACAACACATACGCACGGAGTCCTATATCTTTGTTTTTATCCTGGACCCGGATGTCACGCAGGTAGCTATAGCTGCCTCCGTGGTCATGTTAGATGTAGCCTGGGAATTCTAGGTCTTCTAACTGGAACCACAAATGTGCATCCACTCAAACATTTCGTTTACACCAGCCCTACATGGGTGTAAGTTATTTGGCATATGTTTCAAGTACGATGATAGGTTCATCATCAGGACCAGAAGATTTATTGATGTTGAACAGTTTCATTTTTCGCGAATGGGGACAGTGAGTGAAGTTGTTTTTCTTCTGCTTGTGGCACTGGCTCATTGTTAATTGCCTAGTGAATTTATGACCAACATTTTGTGACTAACTAGCAAACAGTTTACATCAATTTCTTTGGTTATGCAGTCCTTCATTTTCATGTTCGACTAGGCTTATATTCATGAATGTTAGTTTATTTCTAGTTTGAGCAGTTTGGTTCACGTTTATAAACGAAATCAAAACTATGAGAATTTAGGCTTTCACCTCCGGAATCACGAATATATAGAACAAAATCCCGGATGATAGGCCGTGGTCGAATCGAACCTTAAGAAGAAAACGTTTCGTTTGCTACCTCGACAAACATCATCAGTGGTACGAGCGTTGACTGTGAGGACGAAGGTCATATCTCGAAGTTTCAGCAACAACTGACTGAGGTATAACCTTCGCCCCCTTAGTCAATGCACATACTACTGATGATGTCGGCCAAAACGTTTGGTACTTGAGGAAACTATTTCACAATTATCATGCTTCGTTCGAAAATTGAACATGATGTTTGTACTTAGACCAAGAGACTTCATCTACATTGTATTTCATTATGTAATTCTTAACCGACCTGGCATTTATCTTCAATTTCCTCATACCCCTCATCTAACAGTACCTATCATTGGGGGCTGAGTCTTGTAGCGTAGCAGTGCGTAACACTATTAAACACGCAGAACGGTTGTTTGTTTCAGTTCATGAACAGGTCTAGAAGACTATATTTATCAGTACGGTTTTTATCGTCTAGTGCGAAGAAACATTATTCGCATTCAGACTTCGGGATAACAAGATTCGAAATACCTACTCGATATTAATGTCATAACGAAGCAACAAAAATATCGTGATAACTATGTTTCATTTTTGGTCTCTGACGAATGTTGGAGTTGGATACTTACTTTGTGCTTTGATTGAAATGGTGAGTTCATTTTAAATTTTCGAGAGTGAGTATCTATCGAATTATGTATTTATAAATCATTTCATCGTTTTCGTTAGTTTAACCGTGGAAGCGTTATTGGAAGACATACTATGCATTACCCACACATACACACACACACACATATTATGCCACTTTTTTTTAATGGGATTGTATTGGTAACTTCTAAACAATAAAAGTTAAAAGTTCGATGAAATGGACAAAAAGTTGCATTCATAGAAGCATTGTCAAATTGTTCAAACAAATCGAGAATATCAGGGCCGATTATTGAGATATAAGAAAAGTAAGTTCTGTCATTTAAGAGTTTTTTTCCAACGTTACTTCAAGTATAAAGAAAAAATGTTACGGGCATTTTTCATTCGATAGGTAATTCTCCTCGATTTAACGTGATCAAATTTCTAATCCAACGTTTCGTACTCTCTGGACCACCCTCAACCTAATTGTTTTCAATATGGACCTGCATACTTTTTGACAGTTTTCGAAATAACTTTTCACGCTGAATTCAACGATATATCGTACAATGTCATCGATTTTGGGGTGATTTTGACCCTTATCCAAAAGTCTTTGGTTCGGATCTGTATTACATTCACCTTCAGTTTAATTAAGAACATGCAATACATTTCGATTAAAAAATCAACTCACTCATCCCAAACTGAATGTATTTTATCAGAATAGAAGAAATAAACAAGTAATAATTATTTACATATTTCAAAAGAAGAGAAAAAACAAATTCATTATAATGAAACGACACAATCATTTATTTGAAAAAATGAATTGAATAATTTTTAGAAAGTTAATGAAAATTATTGAAGTGAGTGTTAGAAATGTTCACCATTTTGTAAAATACACTTTGCGTTTCTAGATTTCAAACTTCTTATACATTCTTATGCATTCTCAATCTTCTCACGAAGAATATCTATTGCCGGATTTGTAGTACCATACATTTTATTTTTGGGATATGTTCACAAATGAAAATTCAATGGATTTAAATCTGGAGATTTGGCAGGGTATGCCGTTGGACCTCTTGTTCCAATCCACGAATCAGGAAAAGTTCGTTTTAAATAATCTGTGACTATTGTTGACTTGTGTGGGCCACATCCGTTCTGTGGTAACCAGAGACCGTTACGCCGATACAGTATATAGGAAGATCATTCAACATTTTCTCTATAATTTCCACATATTTTGTCTCCGCATATTTAACCATATGTTCAAAGTAAAATGATATTGATATCTAACTTCATGAATTGAGTTAGGATTTTCTGTGGCAAAAAAATGTTTGTCGTTTCGTCTCCTCAAATTATATTGGGCGCAAGATTGTTGTTATTCCGCACCATCCGTTGAAACCGAATACAGAATTGCAACCTTCTTTCAGAATCATTACAATATACTTTTTGCACGGCTTGGTATTTATAGTTATGATAGTTATGGAGGGTCGAATAGATCCACTCACTTTAGACCTAACCTAACCTATAGTTATTGTATCCGTGTCTCTTGACTATTTTATTAACAGCACCTTTTGATAAATTGCATTCACTGGCCATAGTTCTTGATCCTATTCCTGAATTCATTCGAATTTGGGTCTAAACATTCATAGGCTCGTTTCATCTTACATAAGGAACTCTAATATATCGGTTGGTCGTATCGACCAAATGAAATTAATTTCTGCTTTTCATAGTGGGAAATAACTTGCGACGAATCTTCCAAATTGAAGACGCTGCACAGGTGCCTGATGGTTTTACTTCAGCTTTCTGTGCGGCATTAGCTGGGTTAGTTGTTGTTTTTCCGTCGGGTATCTGCCACACGTACCTACAAAGAGGTAGGTCTACATGAGAGGAGGCAAGGTTGATGTGACTTGACGTCGGGCCTCAATCTGCCTACTCCCCAGGTCGCGTCACGAGTTCTCACTAAGGTCTCAATCTGCCTACTCCTTAGATTGACAAATTTGTCAATGAATCCCAGGGTATATATGACATTCTGATTGCCATAAAACTTATGTAGGCCGGACCAACAAACGTGTGATAAGTAGAATGTATGAACATCAACTTGCTCTCCGAAAGTCAGACCAATCCTCAGCCCTGTCCAACCTTTCAGGTTGGAAAGTCTTTGACCTAATTTTCCGATGCTCATCCCTACCAAGACGTCCGGTGATGGTAATTACCCGAATCCTCGCCCCCACATTTCCACTTCAGTAGCGCCAGCTGATATAAGTACCGGCGATCGCCCTCAGTTCAATGTAAGGAGTAGGCAGATTGAGGACCCGACGTCAAGTCACATCAACTTTTTGAAAGTGGCTCCAAATTCGGAGCCGAAACGTCGTTCACTGAACTCCTATTTCTTGATGTATGTCTGCAACGCTCTCAACATGTGGTGTGATTGACCTTGAATTGATTTGTTCACTATTTATAGCATCTGCAGGGTTTTGTGAGTTCAAACGATCATCAGTATCATTTTTGTTCGATAAAGACTCTTGATGTATGCCGATTGGAATAGAATAATGATTAGAGCCAGTTTGTTCCAGATATCCCCCTTCACCTCGTGGTGCTAAATGTTTGTTCGAAACAGTTGTTTCCTCCCGTCGGCTAATTTCATATACGAATAATCTGGATTTGATTCAAGCAATTCGACTTCTTCTACTAGGGTTTTATGTTTGTTAGTTCGTGTATGTCTTCTCATAAAGACAGTTCCAGGACTTGTTAGCCAAGAAGGCATTGCTTTTCCATTGGCAGATTTTCGATTTTGTAAAAACATTCGTTCATGTGGGGTAGCATTTGTAGATGTGCAAAGGAGGGATCATATGGAATGTTTCAGTCCTCTGGAATGAAGAGCCAACTCATTTGTTTTCCAAATACCTAATTCCATTATTTCGTCCACACTGGCCATTGCCTTGATGATTATATGCTGTAGTTCGACTAGTGGCAATTGCCTTTCGATTGAAAAATCCTTTGAGTTCTGATGACATAAACGAGGAACCTCGATCAAAATAGATACACTACTAGGTGATCCAAATAGCGAGAAAAGCAATGTGAGATATTTGACAACGGTTGTTGCGGATATGTCAGAACATGGAAAATCAAATGGAAATCTCGACTACTACTGTCAACAGGTATCGATTTCTTGATGTAGACGGTAATGGTCCCTAGAAATCGAGAGCTAAACGTTCGTACAGTTGCTTTAATTAACTGACCTTGTGTTTAGTAGAAACGGCGCTTGACTAAAGCACAAACAGAACATGTTGACGTTATTCTCTTCATTTCCTCCATAGAATATGTCACATGGGTGACAAAGAGACTGATGGATATTAAACAACTCTGACAAGTATCTGCTAGCGTTAGCATTGACTCTCGATACTGCATCGGCTAGTGTAGAAATCCTATGAATGATATCTGATTTAATTCCATACGGAATATTTTAAATACAAACTGAGTAGAGAAGAGTTTTTTGTATAATTCAGTGTTCATATGAAAGTATTTGTTTCGAAAGAATTTTTCTTACGTGTAATTCAATGTTTGATGCGGAAGTAGCTGTTTCAGGAGGACTTTTTCTTCCAATTTGTGTCAGAAACTTACTTCTTTGCATGATCCACACATCTATGTATAGAGTTACTCCTTTCAAAATTGATTGCTTTGCTTCCTTTCTTTGGAAGATTACCACATTTTTTTTGTATCATGGTGGAGTAGTCACTTCTAAAAATATAATCCTTTCAATGTTTACTATCTGATCTACATTTGGTTGTAGTGTTAGAATAGATGTAGGGTGTAGCGAAAAAACAAGCGTCTACACTACAGTAAGAGTTGGGTTTTTCAATTGGCGCAGGTAGATTTTGGGCGCCCCGTGGCGGCCATTTTGTTTTGGTGACAAATTTTTTGTTTATTATTCAGTTGTTTATGCCAAATCATCATGGCAAGTTACACGATTGAACACCACGTTCAAATGATAAAACTTTATTATCAAAATGAGTGTTCGTTAACGCAAACGTTGCGCGCATTGCGCCCATTTTACGGTAGACGTGGTGGCCCTTCACAGTCGACTCTTCAACGTTTGGTGGCCAAATTTGAGACGACCGGTTCAGTAAACAATTAGCCAACACCCGTACGTTCAAGGAACGCAAGATCGGCCGAGAACATCGCCACGGTCCGTGAAAGTGTACAGCAGAGCCCGAGGCAGTCTATTCCTCGCCGTGCACAACAACTCGGCCTTTCGCAGACTTCAACTTGGCGAATTTTGCGTCGGGACTTGGGCCTACACCCGTACAAGATCCAACTGACCCAGGAGCTCAAAGTTCATGACCATAGACAACGCCGTTTGTTCGCTGACTGGGCTTCGAATCGTTTGGCAGAGGACCCCAATTTTGGCCGAAAAATCATCTTTAGTGTTGAGGCGCATTTTTGGATGAATGGCTGTGTTAACAAGCAAAATTGCGGTATATGGGCCGACACCAACCCACCCGAGGTTCACAGGTGATAATGCATCCTCAAAAAGTTACCGTTTGGTGTGGATTTTGGGCCGGCGGCGTAATTGGTCCATACTTTTTTGAAAACGACGTTAGTGAGGCGGTCACCGTCAACAGCGAGCGCTACAGAACGATGATAACTGATTTCTTATGGCCCAAATTGAACCATATATGGACCTAGACGACATGTGGTTCCAGCAGGACGGCGCTACGTGCCACACAGCAAACGCCACGATTGACATTTTGCATGAACGATTTGAGGGTATGGTTATCTCTCGCAGGGGTGATTTGAATTGGCCACCAAGGTCATGCGATTTGACCCCTCTAGACTTTTTCCTGTGGGGTTTCTTGAAGTCGCAGGTCTATGCAAATAAACCACAATCGACCGATGCCCTAAAGGTGAACATAATACAGGGCCATCGCTCAAACTCATCCGGATCTATGCGGAAGAGTCATTGAAAATTGGACCACTCGGATGCGTGCCACCGTAAGAAGCCGAGGCGGGCATTTGAATGATGTCATATTCCACACTTAATGTCATACATGCACCTTTCAAATAAAAAAATAATTTTGTTAATACCTCACACACAGCTTGTTTTATTCCATTTCAACATCTACCCGCCCTTATTGAAAAACCCAGTATAAATCTAATCAACGTCTTTTGTTACAGGTTTCAGTAGCTGCACAGGACTATGAAGGTATGTGTAATATTTTCTAAACTAGTCACTAAGTACTTCCTTACATCCCGGATTATTATGAACTTGTTGGCATATACCTTAAGTTAAAATGGTCAAACCATTTCACAACAAAGGTTGTGAAAAATACTTCCTTTTAAAGTAAATAAACATCCAATACTGGTTCCAACTTACCTGACTCAAAACTGAAAAGATATACAAAGAATTGAAAAACCGTGGGACGAATATTTTTGAATCTATCTACCTATACTGATATAAGTGTGAAATTTTGTGAGGATGGATAAATGTATGTAGGTATGTTCGTGGCTCTTTCACGCCTAAACGACTGAACGAATTTATATGAAACTTTACATAAATACAGCCTATACATCAGACTAACATATAGACTACAACTTACAAGATTTTGTTTAATTTTTGTCATAATATAACGATAAGTATTAAGTAAAAGTCGGAAAAATTCTTGCTCCCTGAGAACACTTTTTACAATGCACATTTTAGAATATCTGTCAAATTCTTATAAAAATTGATACAAATTGTCGTTTCAACTATTAAATATGGATAAACTTTGTCTTTCTCACTGAGTAATGTGGACGAAACGTTCAAAAGTTATCATGATAAGATTAACTTGACGCAACGCAGTAAGCCATTTCGCGTCGCGTCTCCTGTAAGACGATGGGAAACGATACGCAGGGATAGAGGGGCGGTTTGAGCAATGAACCGCCATCGCCGAGAACGCGACCAGAACGCGGGCAGACGCGTGAGGGCAGACGTCGTTGACGGTTGTGTTACTTTTACGAAATTTCTTTATAGGCAACATAAATCGATTCTCGAAGCTATTCATTACTTAGAGCAGATCTTTGGTGGTGGAGATTCCCTTTCTTGATGCTTATTTACGCTATACAAATAACCTACCTGCATATTTCAAGGTTCTAGGTTCAGTAGCTTCGGCTGTACATCAATATAAGAGTGTCAGTCAATCAATAGGTACTCACTTATACAATACTAATAGCTGTTCCTCGTTGTTTAACCCGCGTTGCCGTGGGAACCTACCGTATGTGTTATTCCAGGTCATGATCTATTTATATACCAACACACATTTGAATCCGTTGATCTGTTTCGGCGTAAAAAAGTAAAAAACGTGAATACATAGGTACATTACATTCATCCATCGTCACAAACTTTACGTATTTATTATATTAGTAGAAGTAAGATTAATAAGGATTATAGGTACCATCAGTGTATTTCATTCTAATCCTTTCAGCTTTTTTGCTGATGCTATTCAACATTGTATAAGTTCACTTGAAAAATTTGCTGTAGAACCTTCATCGAATACGCTTTTGTATTTGCTGATTCGAATCACATTGCCTACTCTAAAATCAACCCTTTTATATTCATTAGGCTTTTTGACATACTTGTACAAGCTTCATTCTGATGATTTTATTAATTTTGGACAGGTCTGTATCTGAAAGGATTTTTAGCCACTCATGGTGTCCTTCAATGTTCTAATAACTCGTTCAACAATGGCAGCTTTCTCAATGCTAAATGTTCAATGATGATTGATGTTTTCTCATTATTAATGAAATTGTGCATTATCTAATTCATTGCCGTGATCAGGTTGTATTTTGCATCTCTCAACACCCTACCCAAATCTGAAGTAACTGACTTTCTACCTTAATTTTCCACGGCATTGTTCAAACGAACAATGAAAAACAGTTTATCACAATTAGATCATATGGTTGCATTTCTATGAAATCTATTCGCCATAAATCCGAAAAACATTTATCGAGAGAAATTTTGTCGCGCCGTATTATGTAATCCACGTACAACCTGCCTTTGTGCATTATTCATGTTATTTATCTATGTCTGATATTAGTTCTATCCATGATGGTAAAGCTAATTATCTAGTTCTCCAGTGTTTTGGTAAAAATTTAGCTGTTAACTATTTCACTTCAACAGTCCATCGTAAGGGTATCTATGGACAATTGAGCAACTTCATAAATCAATCAAATAATATGTCGATAGGACTAATAAGTCTTTTAGTCGTGGTCGTTCTTTCTCCACCTGATTTCTCAGTTATGGCTAATACTTCTATTTCATTATCGGGCCCAGTACGTTCTGCCGTTCGTGAACTACAAAGTAATCAAAGGCGATCAACCAATTCTTTCAACCTAATCCAAAACATAATATGCGTATTTTTGAATAGTATTTTTGAGAGGGCCATATTTTAGGTGTGCTAAATGTTCCTTATATCTTATTTCAATAGATCTTTTTGTCTATCCATATTATTTTGCGTCGCAATCCTTACATTTCATTTCGTAAATTCCAAATTTTTCCGAATTCTCGACATTGTCTTTTAGATTTCCTAATAAGGTTCTGTAGTGTATGACAGTCGCCCATTATATTTTGCAACAAAACCATTCCATAGACTTCAGTTCATTCAATTAGTTAGACAAGTTAACAACAACAGTCATTTTAGATGCCTATAAGAGTATAGAAATAGGTAAACATAATAATATTATGAATAACGATGGTGAATCAATACCTTATAGTATACTTTATAGCTTGTTAAAATAATATTTTAATAATTACATTTACCTGACTATTACATAAGGACACATTGTAAAATTAAATTAACACTAGTAAATAAGGCAATATTGTGAAATTAATATAAGACAATGAAACGCAGGTACCTAGAGGAGTTATCTATGGTATGAATAAGGAGGAACATTATAAGTATATTTAGTTTAATTTTCCTCAAGAAGATGAACACTTGGTGATCGAAATATTCATTTAAGAAATATAAAATGAATTAATATAAAAAAAACTTAGAAGAAGCCTTCATTTACGAGCTTTCATGTTATATAAATTGTGTAATGAAGTTATTATTTATTAGTAAAAATTTTAAAGGTAAAGATTACTTATCGTACAGTACTGAGGCTATAAATCTTATTATTTAATTAAATTCAAATCTTATCATTTAAAATTTAATTTTGTAAAGTAATTGGATGTAATTCAAATCTTATTTTTATCTTTTTAGAGCGTGAACGAGAGCTTTTTTGGGGTTTTTCAATATAATTTTTTCTGTTATGAATCAGATAATATACAACTCATCACTCAGTTCTGATGAAAATAAGAAAAAAATGATAAATGTTATTCCATAAAATGTTTTCATTTTCTCATTTATCAATGAGATCTGTCGTAATGAATGGAATTATTATGTTTTTGTTCATTTTCAGTTGCCGAAATACAGTGCACATTTGCCAGTAGCACTAATACAGGATCGACAGACTCAATTATAGCAAAATTGAGAAAACCGGATGGTTTCAAAGGTAACCCAATTTTTGCCGACGATCGTGGGGTAGATCCAGAAATAGATTCATCGTGTCAAATTCGTCAAGATTCCAGTGATCCTTCGGCAACGAGATACAATTTAAAAATTATGGATTTCAGTAGATGTGGAGTTCTTAAACGGAATGTAAGTAGTGCTTTGAAATAGGTCTTCTACGTTCTGATCCCTTATCAGTGCTTTACGAAGCACCGGAGGAAGCCAGGCCTGCCTCTGCCAGTTTATTTATTATACTCGTATAATTCATTTTAATTTTTCTCTATTCTGTTGTGTGAAACTTTGTTGCAGTCCCAAATTCTTATTTCGATAAGTTTTGGTATATATCTCAGTTGTTCAAATGATTTCCAAAAAGTTACAGTGCAAGTAAATCTATCCATAAACTCATTGGAAGATGCACTTTCCCATTTGAATTTTTAAAGCTTGTTTTATAGTTCTTTTCCCAAAGAAAACGATTGAAAGCCATAATAATATTGGTGTCTTCGATTATAAACTTCAGTCACTTCTGAAATCATCGTAAAACTGAATAAAAAAATAATAAATACCTACTGATTAGAATTGAAATATTCTTCGGGAATCAACACATCAAAGAAATGATGTCACTTATTTTATTTTGTAGCATAACACCTGAATTGTCAGGTGAAAAAAATTAAAAAATAATTCACCAGTTTCTCCAGAAAAATACCCTAACTTTTACATACAGAGACGAGCTTCAAGTAGATTTTGTCTTCGAACATAGAATTCACAAATCATAATTTTTTTTCCAATTATTAAACTGGAAAATATTTAGTTTAAATTCATGAAATTGTGAATTTTGAGAATGGTAAAATGAAATGTCTCCATTGTTGATCTATCATCTAGTTTTCTAACTCTTAACATATTTTATGTTCTTTTACATATGTAAATATCAATGTTCTTTAGAAATTCTGATTTTTCATACCAAGCTTTTTGTCACCACTTTCGTTGATGACATTGAATCAATATTCATTCAATCGCTACAAGAAACAAGAATATATTTAATTAATTATTGTTGTTTCTTGCGTGCCAATAGTAGGTTGGTATTATATACTAAGAAATAAGAAATATCAAAATATTTCATAAGCCAACTCCCAATTTCCACTTTGTCACAGTTTACATATCTTTCGAATATTAAATTTCCAAAATATGACGTTATTTTTTATAGTAGTAGTAGATGTTTCACAAACATTATTTTGTCAACGTGAAGCAAATTTGTATGTATCTGAAAAGAGTGTGTGAAATTTATCTCATTCACCTACCAGTATTATCGCCTTCCAAAGTAAAAAATGAGTGTGTAGGTAATCTTTTCTACCCTTGTTAGAATTTCATTTTCTTGGTATCATGATTGAGGTAGCAGCAATTTCTTTATCGTCAAAAATGTTTTGTAAAAATGAAATTACCGAATGTAATTACCCAATGTAAATGTGTAGAGTTATACACTAATAATAAGCTTTATAGTTCACAACTTACTCTGATAACTCATCCAGAATAACATAATTTACACGTCCATTTTTCGTTTATTGGAAGACAGTCGAAAGCAATACATATTTTACTTTTTGGGAAACTAATATTTTGGCTTTCTACTCAGCTATCTTTATACAAAAAAAATGTGGGAATCTTCCAAAGAAAGGAAGGACGCAATCAATTTCAAAATAAACTCTTCACAAAGATGTGTAGATCATGCAAAAAGGTAACTTTCAACCACAAACTGGAAGAAAAAGCCCTTTGAAAATCCTACAATGAAGTGTTATTTAAATAATATATACCGGATTTTTGTCAAGTATCGGCCAGTACCATCACATATTTTTATTCAATAGTATATTCTTCAATTTTCATAGCCAAAAAATTATTTTTGGTTTGGGGGTGTAAATGGACCAATGGACAATTTTCATTGTTTTTCTCATCAAATACCCTAATTTATATTATATCCTATTTAATTCATGAAATATATGTGATGTAAGTTTAACAAATTCTATGTTTTTTAGGGTTTTGTTCACGTGAGGATATGGTTTCCACAATTCCCAGGCGTGGTGATGCAATCCGATCAAGAACTAATAATTATGTGCAAACCTCCAGAGCCAACAGTAATTGAAAATAAGGCAGCTGGGTTTGCTGGTAGTTTGTGAGTATTAACATTATTTTCTCACTTTCAACAAAAGAATTCACGCTCAATTAAAAATTCGAGGTGAAATAACATTCTCTTTTCCTACACAATAAAGCAATAATTCGACTCCTAATGAGTACCTACCTAACAGTAAATCAGTGAATTTGTGAATCAGTCTACTCAATATATTATCATCTATCAATTCATGATCATCTGATCAATACCATTGATTGCTGAGGAGAGTGGTGTGATGACCTTTCTATTTTTAGGGCAACTAATTCTTTTACTGTAATTTCTACTCGTTTTGTCAACCACGCTCTGCTACCATGTTAAATAAACGGCGTGAATCATATACACTAACTTTACTTGGCAAAACGTATTAATTTACAATGGTTCAACATAAACGTATTCACTTAAACAAAAAATATAAATTGAGTTTTAAGCCATTTTACTCTTTGTCATATTACTGTCAAGCACACACTCACTTAATACAGGAGTGACAGGTGACATAGAGTTGATTCGAAAAGAACTATTATTTAACAGAATTATCTTTTAGTTTTAAGTATACCATCTACATCATTATTATCTTTTTTAATCAAACCGTTCAACATGAATTTTTTTACTCATTTTATTCTGAGATTACTTCTGTTGACGAAGGCTGTCCCAATTTTCCTCTCTCGACAAATTCTTCAAATTTCATGGATTGGTTCGGTAGAAGTAGTCGCCTAAGCATAAGGCGTAATAATAACGTTGGTCAACACGGTAAATGGTGGAGGCCGTAGTATGGTAATGACCTCTGTAGGTGCTTTAGTGGTCGGTTCCCTAGCGAACGTAATAGTTTCCTCAGGCTATTGTATAGCAAAACACGTGTCGCGGTTTTTGTAAAACCCTTAATAGTGAAAATTATATAATAAACTGTATTAATGCGTTTTTTTACAACAATATTGACTGATGAAAGTTTTTTTGTGAAACATCCGATAGCCAAATCGACCCAACAGTGATTCCGGGTTGAATCCGTCCCCGAGGACCCAAGAATTACTTGTGCGTTATGATTCCAATAGATTTGATGAAACAGAAACAGAACGACAGAGCCTAATAAAGGTGGAAAGAATTTTACTAGCACTCTCGTAATGACCTGACGATGACCTTTGCATTTTGCATATGTTTCATGTATTTTCTGTGAATATGTACTATATCACCAAACATAGCAATAAAATACAAAGCATTATACCAAGTGTTCTCATCTGAACGACTCAAATAAACAAGGAGGAATATGTTATAAATATTTTTATCTCTATTGAAATTAAAGAAGAATGTTCATTTATATTTTAGCCCACATGGAGCTCGTATTTCGGGAGTTGTTGAGGAAACACCAGGTCGTCTAGAATACGAAGTAGCTCTTTACAAAGAAGCTTCATCTTCCAGATTGACCAATTCTTCGAGTAATGAATTACCCATAGATCAAGCAGTACCTATAGGGACCAAGTTACAGCTACGAGCAAGAATTAGTCTAGACTCTGCTTGGAAATATGTGAAACTCATGGAAGTTACCGTTAGTCCAGATCCAGATGATCCTCATGTGAGTGGGAGCGTTGCACTTGTAAAAGATGGGTGAGTAATGATTTATTAACTTTGTTCTTATTCGTAGATTTTGTCAGTAATTTTCCCCTCCACCGGTCTTTTACCTAAACTCAAGTGGAAATGGAAGCTGAATTGTCATTAAAACCGCGGATAAGTCAGTACAAAAATATAAGGAATATTGCAAAAGATAATAATTCTGACTAAACATATACACTTGAAAATGTTGAGGAGTGTGTTTTATCTGAAGCAAAAAAAGACGGAACTCACGGATATAACTTTTAAAAATTAGGGTGAACCGAGGACACGTGTTTCTGGCTATTAACTTTATCAGCGTGGTGTAGTCAAGTACAAAAAATCACACCTGGCTTGCCGAAAACATCAGGAATATTCGTAACCCCCAAACATTTATTAATATTTTATGATGTGACATTAAAAAATACATATAACCCTCAATTTTCACCCTTTCATCACCAACTCCTACTTTTAGTAATTTAATCAGCTATTTTCGCCAGGCGTCTACCGGTGTCACTTCTCACTTAGTAGGGCACGGAGTAGGGATGAGAACGAAGCCGGTCAGCCGGTCTCCTGCCACTCTCACATAATGAGCCTTCTCTCACTGCCTTCACAGTTTTCGTCCACTATCATTGTTTATCCATCGAGCGTAGATATTTGTTTGCGATGCCGATTATCCAACAGTTTTTGAACTCATTGAATTTGCCAGTCATGCCGCCGCATAATTCCAAACTGAAGGTTGGATCGCTCAGTAACTTATCATTAAAAAATTAATGAAAAATATTGTCCAAGCCAGCATTTTTAATGGCGAGTTCCGGGGTAGAAATATATTAATACCACGAATCCCTATTATACCTACTGATGTGCAAATACATTTCAAGCCCGGTACTGATAATATGGCAAGTATCCCGAAACCGGTCTATCGGTTGGTCGTACCGACCAAGTTGAATTAATTTCTGCCTTTCATATGCAGGAAGAAACTTGCGACGAATATTCTAAATGGAAAAAATTGCACAGGTGCCTGATGGTTTTACTTCAGCTTTCTGCGCGGCATTAGCTGGGTTGGTTGTTATCTTTCCATCGGGTATCTGCCACATTTACGTACAGAATCGTAGGTTCATATGAGAAGTAAGAGGTAAGCTGTTTTTCACCTGAACTTTGGGCATGTACTGCACCAGATTGGTCAACCCACCAACGCCGTTATAAAAACTTGGCAAGCTAACTTGGGTGTCAGACCAATGGGTGGTACCACTTATATCTTGCTTGCGTTTACGCAGTTATTTTTATCAAGTACTGTTCTTGATTTTATATTGTGTTAGTTAGGGAAGCTATAGATTATGCTAGAGACGACCCCTCCCGATATAGAAGGCCCCGACACTCTGTCGAATGAGGCCCTCATGTTCCCTGTTAAAGGACGAACAAATTTTTCATCCATGCCACCCTAGCCAGGTAGGGGTACCCCGTGAAGGGCGGTACTGATATCTGAGGACTTCATACTGCCAACATACCCTCAGTCATGAACCCATTTGTCGTTCTTCGACAAAAATCAGCCAAACGGGTAAGAGAGCTGGGCTACAACCTGAATGAAACCAAGACGACTGGTCACATATTGTGAACATTTCAGGTTAGAGTAAAGGGGCCCCTGTCTGACAACAAAGAGATCCTCGCTGGGGTGTCGCAGGGAGCTGTGCTTTCTCCCACGTCATACTCGCTCTACACCAGCGACCTCCCGAGGTCCGAGCAGGTGAAGGTGTCTCTCTACGTCTATGACACGGCTCTCCTCTCATCTTCCATGGGTCGGGAGCTCGGCGTCATCTACATGCAACGTGCATTGGACGACCTCGAGCGCTAGTACCTCGAGTGGAAGATCCGAGTGAACCCAGAAAAAACCCAGGCGATAACCATGGGAAGAACGATATCTTCTCCGGCTAGGAAAGTGAGGGTTTCTGGAAGTGAGATCAACTCTGGCAAGCGCGGGTAAAGTACCTCGGCCTTCTAATAGACCGTAGGCTCACCAGGAACCCCACATTATATCCGTCAAAACAAGGATCGAGGTCCGGATAGCTACTCTGTACCCTCTGATCAACAGAAGATCTAAAATGAGCCTTAGAAACAAAATTACCATTTACAACACGATGTTCAAGCCTGTCATCATGTATGCTCAAGGCGTCTGGGGACAAGCGGCTTCGTCTAATATCTCCATTCTGGAGATATTGCAAAACAAGATAGTACGGATGATTGTGAATGCTCCGTAGTTCGTGCGGAATGAAGTCATCCGTGGAGATTTGCAGCTACCTTCCATTCGGCAGTCCATTCAGTCGAGGAATCGGCGAGTTTTTGATAGCGTGGAAACTCACGATAATCCGTTAGTTAGAGAAGCTATAGACTATGCTGTAGAAGACCCCTCCCGATATAGAAGGCACCGACACTGTCGAGTGAGGCTCCCATATCCCCCGTTAACAGATGAACAATTTTTTCATCCATCTCACCGTAGCACCGCACTGATGTCTGAGAACACTCATGTCGCCATGCCACCATCAGTTATGACTCATTTGTCCCTCTGTCAATCACCAGTTGAAAGGTAAGGGAGTCAGGCTCTAACCTGACCTAAATCAAGATGGCTATATCGTGTCACATATTGTCTTCAATCGAGGACCGCCTGCTCGTTACTGACGATGCCCAACAGGTTGAAACAACTGTCTATCGGTTGTTCTTAAATTAAAATCGATATGGAAATGATCAGAATATTATTTTTCATTATTGATTTCGAGTGAAATGGTTCAAACTCATTTTGATTTATTTTGATTTCTTCCAGATGCAGAAACAGAGATTTTTCCTCAATAATTCCGCATCAACCTTCACGATATAGAGAAAGGCCCAATGAAGTTTTTCTGGACTTTGAAGCATTTCTTCTCAGCACAATGAAAGAACGTTCCACCCTCTGGATCCATTCCCAAATAAAAGCGTGTATGGAAGTTATTGACTGTCAACCTGATTTCTGCTTAGATCTTTATGAACCTTCTGGCCATGGAAGGAAGAAACGTAAAGTTGACGATATTGAACTAATGGAAGATGTCAGTATACTGAAATACAATGACACACAATTCACAAAAATCAAAGGCAATTTGGAATATACCGTTCTGATACCGGGAGAGTTTTATCACAAGACAACATCTCTCGAGAGCAGCTGTAGTACATTTTTGGTGATTGTTGCTATTTTAGGATGTTTATTATTTTTATCGGCATTTTTAATGTTTTGGTTAACAACTCGCTTACATTCTGCTTTATTGATGGCTGATAATAAAAATAAGAATATAGACCAGCTGGTACGTGATGCGAAAAAATATTCAGTTTCTGGATATATGGGTAGGGCCACTACGCAATAAAGGAGTATGAATAATCTCTCGAGTCGTTGTTTGATTATATTGTGGAAAATATTGTTTCCAGAATCTCATGAAATATCTTTCTGTAGTTATTTCTATTTTCTGTTCGCAATTGAGATTGTGACGAAAGTTTATAGATGATAACTTCCTAAACTAACTATGGAATTTCATGAATTTTTTATGCTTACACCAAAATTAGGAACAAATATCACATGAAATATCATTCGAATCCAGTTGGAGATTAGGACAAGATGAATATTCGGAATGATCTGCCTTTTCGAAAAGAAAACTCACTTGTTTTGTTTTTGTCATTTCGCAATGTATTTATATCAAGTCACTTATAGTAATAATGATCAATTGTGTCATTCTGAATTTTTTACGTTAATATTACCAAAATTCATATCAATGTTCTCTATAGGGATCGATAAAATTTCAATTTTCTGGATGATTTCAAAAAGTCATTTGGAAATACCCACAATTAATGAATAACTAGAATAATGAACACATAATCAGTGATAGTAATTCGCAACATGATTAATATGTTGAAACTAGAGCATCTAGAATCAAAGTCATTGTGATGCACCACAAAACAGCTCTGTTTCGACCCGCCATAGTTCTCATCAATGCTAAAAACTGATTCACGAATTCATTGCATGGACTTAACTGACATTGAAGAATAACCCTTCCAAAGTGGTTAGTTCAACATTGATCGCCGAATTTCTTTCTCCTCAGTTTCCATTGCGAGGCAACTGCTTGAAATCAGAGCTCAAAAACAAAGCATTTGTGTTGCGACTCGACATATGTCTCAGTCTAGCATCACTGATGAGACCTATGGCGACTCAAAATTTTAGTGTTGAATCACGAATGTTTTGTTGAATTAAGTTTCCTTGTACTTACAAAGTTTAGTGTACTATTGATAAATTCTATCCTATTCGTGATTTCGTTACCCGTATCTACTATGTCAGAAAATCTAAACAATTATGAAACTGAAAAACGTAGGTATANAATATCGATGAAAGCAATTTTAATAATAGCTGCTGCAACTTGAGACTGAATGACGATATCAAGTTGCGAAAGTGTAAGAACCCGTCATCCATTCATCAATTCTGGGGTCATGATTTGGTGATACATTGAAAATCTATATGGTGCTTGCCATGAAGTTTTGGCGGTACATACCTTTAATGTCTGCTGCAAAGACAATAGCTTGAATTCAGAATCTAATTAAAATACATTTGATATTATTTTTGGGCCAATAACCACTCTTTAAATTGAATGAAAATCTGAAATTTTCGATAGACGCATCGAATACAACCTTCTACTTCTTCGTACTACTCTATGGTTTGAGCACACATGAGGCATTAGGGAATGGAGAAAAGCAGTTTGGAGGGGGAGATAGACTTCATATGGCTAGAAACTAAATAATCTGACACCCAGTTCGTGTACATAAAAGAGAGGATTATTCAACATCCGACGCTTCACAGCAAAGAATCTACGGAGAGCTACTTCCCAAGATTCTTCAAATTTTGGGTTTGTATTATGAAAATGGAGAAGTAACTTAACTTAAAATTTTGGTTTTGGTTCGGCGAGTCTATGCAAGCTTGTGAAAATTTTACCTTTATATTTGGAACATGTGCATAAACAAAATACTAAATCACTGGAATTTATTACCATACTATGAAAATTTCAGTACGAAAATAAAATATGGCAACTGGCAACCCTGAATAATAAATAATAAAATAACCTATAAATTTATTTATTGGATCAAAACTGAAATGAAAAAAAATATGAAACAAAATATGAAATAAAACTTGAATTCTAAACCTTCAACTTCAACAAAAATGATTCGATGTTTAGATCTCAATATTTCAAGTAAAAATAGGGAATTCCTAGTATTGAGTAGCGCCGTTTTCCTGTGTTTTTTACTTTATGGCTACATACAGGAACTCTTATTTACAATCGAAGGATTTGGGTCCTTTGGATGGTTCTTGACATTAGTACAATTTGGATTGTACAGCATTTTTGGACTAGTCGAGACCAGAATAAGGAGAATTGGTAGCAGAAAGTAAGTTTCCATTGATCTTGAATTTTAGTTAATGTAACAAATCAATCATAATAATATTCAACTTTATTCATCACAAAAGATAAAGGATATCTAATTTATATTTACATTAAATGAAGATAACTTTATGGCGAATGGCAAAGTGTCAGCTAAAGCTGTTTTTCAACTCAACCCTTTGTCTACTGGAACCGTTAAAACCATATGTCTGACATATTAAAAGGTTTTCAATCGTTCTTTATCATAAACATTATATATCTTGTAGCGCAAGCTGACTTCTGTTACTAAATGATATCATTTGGCATATAAATGTGTTTTTCAGTGAACATTTGTTCATTAGGTTCCTTTTACAGTGTCTTTCATAGTTCTATCTTTCTTTTTTTTTACATATTCTACGAGTTCTAAAACATTTTTGGGCTTCCACTTCTCCATCTTTATACAAACATTTATGGGAAACTCCCACAATTTTTTATATAAAAATGGAGAATTTGAAGGCGAAAACTTTTTTCCCAAAAACTTATCTCTCCTAAAATTATACCCCTTAAAATTCACAAATCATAATATTTCCGAGCAGAAAGTAATAGGTAAAGTGTCACAAAATACTATAGCTCAATAGGACTACACATAATTCAAGATTATTAGACCCTTTCTGCTGTGAAAATTGCAGCATTTTTTCTTGCCAAAAAGTTCCCTGAATTCATTCCAATTGAGAGCCTTTCAATGAACGGTGACTTCATTTGTGGGGAATATTATAATAGGTGATTTAAAAACAAAAAGCGAGAATGTGGTTATTGTGAGAATGAAGTTAATCTTTACAGTGAGTAATAACCGTTTTCTCCTAAAAACATACCACTTTTGCATTATCTTAGTATAGTTTGGTTTGTATTTTGCTGGAATTTGGAATACAGAAAAATCAAATCTACCATTGAGTCGATGGCAATCTTGGTTGTAGCTAGGTGTTATGTCAGTGGGCATACTTGAAGACTGGCTATAAATCAAATCATCTAAAGGAACAATTTGTTCAGGTCAGTCTCAACTCCCTACACTGTTGATTTGAACCGTTAAAGTTACGGTACATTATTAGTTTTTAATTTCAATTCCATCGAGTCTATCAAGTTCTATTTTGATAAATGAACCACAAGAAAATATGCTAGTTTTGTTTTCATTTTACCACTCCGAATTTAGGACTAGAACTCAACCATGATGCAAATTTTCATCGTTAGATCTACACATTTTTGACACGTTTCAGTAGAACATGGTAAAAATGTAGCAGCAGGAGATCCACCGAAACCCATAAAATTTTTAAAGTGGTCTACGAGAAACAACATTTGGAAATCTCTGCTACTCTATACCCATTAGGTGAATAGGTAAACCCCCTTTTTAGTATGATAATAATGAATAACTTCTTTACCGGATGATAACAATTGAATACAAGATCACAATTTTGAATTTTTACGTCAAATGGTATAGAAATTAGAGGGTGATTATTATTTTTTTTACTAAAAAACGGGGTTGCTGGTCAGTCTCTGTACCAAAAGCTCCGACTTATTCGAAGGGCCAGCATCGTTAACCAACAACCATTCTCCACAACTGTGAAGTAAGGGATCGTTGGGTCCAAGAATGGGCTTGTTTCGTGCTATTAAAAATGATACTGATTTGCTTGTAGACTGATCGAGTTAGAGGTTTATTATACTTATCGAGCCTAATCGGTTCCAATATCTCTTTATATTTGCAGAAAAAAGAAAAATTCGAAAACCAAGAGTTCAAATTGGCCGCGTATCTGTTGGCCAATGAAATTGATCGTGTCTATAGCGGTGTTGCCAAGTGTCAATTATTTGAACAAAAATATGAAGTTATGAAACATTAAAAAGAGTACATTGTCTCATACATTCAAGAAAGATAGCTGACTGGGTGGCAATATGGCTAATTTATGATACATTACGTTGAATTTTATTAGGGTTCATGAGCCTTCGAGAACTATTTAAACATATAGCTCGTTAAATTCTATTTAGAACCATGGTTTTCAAGTACATTTCATTTTATATGAATTTTTTCATGAATGTAAACGTTAACGGGTTCATATACACTTCCATTATTAAAATTTCTGTGATACCAACATGAAAATGTCTACTGCCGGAGATATTTCAAAAATAACGTTTTTTTTGCGTTTTGTGTTATTTGGATCCCATGTATAATTGATTCTCTCTTCCAGTGCATTTCTTACACTTTCTTCTTAGATTTAGTTGTCGGAAGTGAGTGTGATTTTACTTTGAATCACGAATGAATCAGAAACTGTTTATACGCTCCGTGAATTCTACAATTTGGCAATGTTCATTATTTGTATTGTTCCTATTGGTCAATCGAACAAGAAGCGGGATTAGGCCCGTGACGTCCCTGGCCTAGAAAATCCGATTTTTAATAATTGATTACGGGAAAACAACGCTATTTAGAGAGCTGAAACAAAGTACACTATTTTTCAATTGGAAATTACTACCAAATGAACTGTAAACCAAAAATCATGAAACAAGTCCATTGTGTGCCCTAAGTAGACAGTGAAGAAAAAATGTCAATGTTTCGCATTTCTGCCATTTTGAGGCAAGCCGTTATGATCTTAAGATCAGAGATTAGTGAACAACTATTTTGAAAGAGTGGTAGGGGTAGAGTTTGTGGAGTTCGAAGAATAAATCTCGATACTTTATTCGTTTTTCGTCCCCTTTTTGTGTGATATTCGGTTCAGCCGGAGCGAAAAACCCCAGGACGAATATCGTCTAACTTTGATGTCGAAGAAGACTACATCAGGCTTTTTAGTTTGTATCTGCCCGAGGACGGGGTACTCTCCAAAGGCTGCCATAATTTATCTCTCTGGCTGATGATGGTAGTTGACTAGGCATTTCTACATTAGGCACATATTTCTCAGGCGTATTTCTGGTAAAAAAATTAAATATGTCAACATGTCATCGTTAGAATCTTCCAATATTTCATAGTATTCAAATTGCACTGCCTGATATGTATTCTTTCAGATCATGTAATTTTTTTTATTTTAAGGTCGTTTTTCTTGCAGAATACCTATCCAGACATATCTTTTACTCGCTCTGCTAACTTTGGGAACAATGGGCTTCTCAAATGCTTCTCTAGGTTATTTGAATTATCCAACGCAGGTGATATTCAAATGTTGCAAACTGATTCCTGTTCTAGCAGGAGGAATATTAATACAAGGAAAACAGTACGGACCACTGGATTTCATGGCCGCCGTTTTAATGTGTGTTGGGCTTACCACATTTATTTTAGGTTCGTATGAAATTTTTATAACTTATCGATGTATCATCAGGCGCCTGTGCAACGTCTTCCATTTGGAAGATTCGTCACGAGTAACTTCCTGTTTATGAAAAGTAGAAATTAATTTCATTTGGTCGGGACGACCACCGATAGACCGGTTTCGGGATACTTGCCCCTGGTCGTTACCATGCAGGTCATTTCAGACGAAGTGAACCGTCTGAGTATCCAGAACAAACAGCTTCAGCTTTCTGCGCAGCATTAACTGGGTTGTTGTTGTTTTTCCGTTGGGTATCTGCCACACGTACCTACAAAGTCGTAGGTTCACATGACAATCGAGGTGTAAGGTGTTTTTCACCTGAACTTGAGCATGTTATGCACCTCTTCGGAATATCATTATTATTCTGACTCCCACCCCGGAGTATGTGTTTGTGGAGTTGTTCCCGGACTTTGTCTGCAGGTGGCGCAGTTGGGCATCCTACTGAATCAACTGCAGATAGAGTTTATGATTAGTTGTAATTCATTTTATGAAGCTAGTGGGTACATCCTGGTTTGTTATTACCCTGAAGTAAGAAACCATACGCATACGCTTTTGATATGGCATCGCAAAAGGTATGTAACTGTACATTTCTTTGTTTATTATCACCTAGGTGGTATCTTGAACTTCTTCATCATCTTGAATCCTTTCATAGACACTTTTCAAAATGTCTGGTAACAAAATTATGCTTAAATGTTAATTTAGGAAAACGGTTTGACTGCTTCTGCGACTAAAAATGGTATGGAGCATATCTTTTGAGTTCAACTGTTTCGGGTACAATAAATTAATATTTTAAGCAAGCTTGATTTTGACCAGAGAGAACAAAATCTGGGCTGGTAGGCCTTGGCAGAATGGAAAACTTGTAGTACAAGTATTGTCTTCTGCTGTGGCAGACATCATCAGTGGTATATGCGTTGACTTCATCCTCGCAGTCAACACATATATCACTGTTGATGTTTGCCGCAATAGCATACGAAACGTTTGCTACAAGTTCCATTCTTCCATGACTCACCAGCCCGGATTTTGTTCACACTAATCATGACCCTCCCGTCAAACAAAATAAAGTTTAAAATTGATCATTATACCAGGTGTCACGACAAAGTTTTGAAGCGTATCCTACAGTACTTTCCACTATTATGATCATCAAGACATTCTGTTGCCTGTAAATCTTTTTTGGCTAAATACTTTCATTTCATTTTCAGCGGACTCCCATGTACAGCCTAGTTTCAATACAAAAGGGGTTATAATGATATCTGTGGCATTATTATGTGATGCAATTATTGGCAATGTCCAAGAGAAATCCATGAAGAGTTACGGAGCTGCTAATGCAGAAGTGGTACTATATTCCTACTCACTAGGATTTGTTTATATTTTTTGTGTTATGGTAATCTCTGGCGATTTTGCTGAAGGTCTCCATTTTTTTTCTCAGGTATGCAATATCATTCTTTCAAGATTTAAATTTACCATTTAGCAAGGCCCAGTACCCAAAACAGTCGAATATTTTAATAAATGGGGAAAATATTAACGTTTTCGAAAGCAAAACCACAGGCCAAGCTGATCTTAAGTTTCGGCGGGGGTTTCGTGTAAAAAAACTCAAAACTCAATTTGATCAATCAGTAATCAACTATTTTGTCATACCTGATGTGTGCAGTTCGAGTCGGTACATGAAAATCTAGAAAAACGCCAAAGTTGTATATCGATCAGCCCATTATTTTGTTAAATGGTAAAAAAACCAAAATACCATTTTTTTTGTCAGTTATATCTAATTTGATGGAACGAATTCTTAAAAACTGTTTGAGTTTTGTCAATTCATTATGTCAATATCTGTGATGCTCTTGAAATTTTATTTTACATTTTGAATTGTATTGTCTTTCGGCGAACAGGTCGTTTAAACAAAAAAAAAAAAAACATTAAATATTAGGTGCCGATCAAAGTGCGAAAGAAGCTGTGCTACAAGTACATGTCATGGCAGGGTCAAGAACAACACCCAACGAAGTGTTCATCATTAAAAAAGTGATTGGTACATGGACATACGTATGGTCCCAACAATCCTCCAAACTAGCTGAAATTAAACAGGTCGTATTAACACCTTACAAAACTCTTAACTAAAATCAGAAGCCATCAAATAGCTGTCGCCTCGGCCATACAAGGCTCACTCATGAGTATCAAATTACTGCCAAACAGAAACCATCCTGCGATATATGCGAGACAGACCTGTCAGTAAAACACATATTAGTAGAGTGTCCAATGTACTTGTGATACACTGTCCAAAGGCTGGAGCTGAACATAGCCAAAAATCTCAAGGACATCACAACCACTCATCTCATTCTTAACCGACATAAAGGTATTACATAAATTTGTAAATAACTTTTGTAAGTTACCATGTCAAACCAAAATGGAAAATGATTGATAAAATTTTGAGCTCTTGTGTTATTTTTTTGGATTATTTGCAATGAAAATTTGGAAAAAGAAAAGGTTCATCCCAATACTTGTGGCAGATCTTTTTAACTACGTAGAATCAAAAGGTATTATTTCCAATCAAACAATTGAGATAGCTATAGTATGGTTCCCATATCGGCACTAGTGGGAACAAAAAGCAGATCAAAGTGTGAAAGAAGCTGTGCTACAAGTACATGCCATGGCAGAGACAAGAACAACACCAAACGAAGTGTTCATCAATAACAAAGTGTTTGGTACGTGGACATATGTATGGTCCCAACAATCCTCCAAACTAGCTGAAATTAAACAGATCGGATTAACACCTTACAAAACTTTTAACTAAAATCAAATAGCTATTGCCTCGGCCATACAAGGCTCACTCATGAGTATCTAATAACTGCCAAACAGAAACCATCCTGTGATATATGCGAGAGAGACCTGTCAATAAAACACATATTAGTAGAGTGTCCCATGTACTTATGGTGCACTGTCCAAAGGCTGGAGCTAAACATAGCCAAAAATCTCAAGGACATCTTAGGGGAAAGCTATTATACACAACCACTCATCTCATTCTTAACCGACATAAAGATATTACATAAATTTGTAAATAACTTTTGTAAGTTACCATGTCAAACCACAAGGTTTTGCGGATTTTTTGTAAATTAAAAAAACATATATTTCATTAGATTTTCAATTATGGAATATCATTGACTTTAGGTCGATGATGGCCACTATCTTGCATTGATGAGTGGCTAATGAGCCCGAAACCGGTCTGCAAGTGTGCCCGATCCAAAATTGATGGTCGACTCTTTCAGTTGTGTTGCCAATTGCATATGCAGGTAATTTTCTGTGAAGATTCCTGCACTGACGTCTGTCGGATATAATCCAACGCTCTTCGTGGTAATAGCCAGGGGAGTGGTTGTTTTCTGATAGACGTCAGTCCATTTAACCTACTGTGTCCGAGACGGGCTTGAACATTTAAAGATTATATTTAGCCCACTGACTAATAAGAAAGTTATAAATATGTTTTATATCTGTTCATTCAGAAAACAGATTCTAAGTAAAGAATACTCAATACAAATTCATAAAGTCAAGATATCCAAAGTGCTTTTTCTAACAAAAACAACAAATCATCAATCATTGATAATATCACCTCTTCACTGTCTCACTGTAGGTGAGAATTAAGAAAAAAATATTACATCACTCAGAGAATAAACTTCAAAACAAACTATACGTGCAACTATTCAGACTTGAGGAATTTATTTCCAGCTGTCTTTCATATTTCCATTATGGTTTTTTGTGAAATGAATTTTTTTTCAGGATCCTAAAAGGAGTTATGGTTATACCTTCATTTTCTCTCTCACGGGCTACTTGGGAATTCAAATCGTTTTAACACTAGTCAGAAGAGTAGGTGCATTTGCAGCAGTTACTGTTACAACTTGTCGCAAAGCAGTCACTATTGTCATATCGTTCATATTCTTCAGTAAACCATTTACATTCCAGTAAGTATTAGATATCAATCAGGTTTCAGATATTGAATCAGTTCAGTTATACTTTTCTTATTGATTACATTAGATGTTATTACCATAGGAAACAAAAAGAAGGATTTGTTATGAAATTGGCCAATACTCGATGAAACTACATGATAAACGTACTCATTGACACTTTATTGTGTTTATAAACCGCAACACGTATTCCACTATACAAGAGCTTCTTTAGCTGTGTTTAATACTTGGGTGTTCATAGCAACTTCACTTGATCTCGTTTTCAATTTCATCAGTGGAGAAAAAATTTGACAGAGGATATTTATTCAATTCTTTCTTATCATTGAATTATTGTTGATGGAATCTATTGATTGTTTCAAAATGTTGAACTGATATTTTGATTCTAAAAACTAGTTCTTGTTAACCACCAAATGAAATGATGTTTTTCTTTGTTTCAGGTATTTATGGTCTGGGTTACTTGTTTTAACGGGAATTTACCTAAATGTATTTAGTAAAAACCATCCATTTTCTATGGTAGAGTGTGAAATGCTTATTAAAGCATACCTGAAGTCTTTGAGGACAAAATTCACTTTCTCTAGGGCGAAAAGTAGACATTATTCAATAGAAGTGTAGTAGTATGTGCAAATTATAATAAATAACTGATTTCTCGATGTCCGAACCACAATTTTATAGAGTTATTTCCTCAGATATCTGTCCCGGAATAGATTAGTCACAACTGAATTTCGATTAAATGATAGTGTATTTGTCAGTTCAATGCTCTACATAAAACTTAGATGTATCACTTGATTATTCTTGAAAGACTTTGCACGTAGGTGAGTAAAATCGAAATGAGATAGCACATCGGCCAGAATATTTTCAATTCCAGTTATATGATGAATTCGAAACCAATATTTCTGTAGGATACATGCATCCTGTGTTATTCTTGGGGAAAGCAGGCGACCAAGAATTTGAATTGAAGTTCGTCTATCGGAAGATAAAATAAATTCATTTGTCTGATTCTGTACGCCCGTACTGCAGCAAATATTTCCTTTTCATTACTATGTTTAAACGCCGTTCTCCATTCAGAAGTAAATAGCTTGCCGACTCCGCCAACATCATCATCATCATCGCCGTCTCAGAATGTCAGAAGTTGTATAGAAATGACAAAAGTTGCTCAATTTTTAGAGACTCTGAACCAGTTCAAGACTCGTTTTTGAGCGCGAATAGTCTTGTCCACAGCATCCGATAAAGTTTTATAAAAAAACATGATTATTCCTCAAATCGATTGTACGTTGGTAAAGAAAAGATTTTTCAGGTAATTTTGTCACACTGCGTCAGTTTACTTGAGGATGGTTTAATGAACCAAAACCGGTGGTAACTAATGAGGCGTGCGTTTCCATAACTAATTAGATCCATGTTTCACTAAAATTGAGAAAATGGCGACAATATCTTCTTTGACAGCTTTGACACATGCCTATATAATTGTAGTGGACCAAATACCAGTAATACTATGATATTAAAAAAATAGTACGTTTCCAAAACTAGCTACATTCTTCATAAACACTGTTACAAAAGTGTGTAAATCCACTGCCGTAAGTGCTGTTTGAAAGGTGGGTAGATCCAATAGTATTATGTTATTCATTGCATGCTACGGTTTCAAAACTTGTTAGATCCTGTTCGTATGTGCACGGTTTCTTTACTGTTTACGTACACATACGATTTTTGTCAGTAGTTGTTTGAACGTGAAGCAGTCTTGTTGTGATTTAGTGTGTTTGCGGTTTGAAAATAAAGCTGAGATTCCAGAGGTCCTTGAGAATGAAGTGCAGGTTAAAAAAGAAAATCTTTCCGATGTCGATGCACTTTTGAAAAAACCTTATGGTCCTAATTGGAGAAATGCCGCAGATGATTTGTCATTTTATGAACGCGAATATTATTGTCCACACCATCCGGTAAGGTTTTATAAGAAAACACTGTTATCCCTTAAATCGATTGTATGTTGGTAAAGAAAAGTTTTTTCAGGTTTTTTTTTTTGTTTGTCAAACTGCGTCAGTTTACTTGAGGATGGTTTAATAAACCGAAGCCGGTGGTAACAAATAAAAAAGTTATTTTCTCTATCCTACATTTAATATGAATTTTCACAAAATAAATAGTTCATCAATCAAACAAATGTTTTCCAGTAACAATAGAAAAAAATTGGTTACTATTTTTTTTCGAATTCATGAATTACTCTCCTTTTTCTTGTAATGAAGACAACATCAAAGACAAATCCTCCTTTTGAACATTTAAACATTTGAAAATTCAGTAAGCACTTTCCGCACGCTAGCACTCAAAGTAGAGGAAATGCAAAATCTCGTCTACAGGACAACGCCCTGGTTCAATAAATGGACTGAGACCAAACCCGGAAAAATCACAATTCATCGATTTTCATCACAATCCTTCAGAGACGCCACCAACAATAAACATCAACAACGAAATGGTAACAAGCAGGCAATCAGTAAAATACTTGGGAGTTAACATTGACCACAAAATCAACTTGAACAGCCATACAAAAATGATTAAAAAGAAATGCATCAATAGAGGAAAACACTTTCGAGAAATCAACACTAAAACTGCAGCTAAAATACATAAAATGATCTGTCGTCCACTTCTCGAATATGCACATGTAATCTATTCAAGTTGTCGTAATCCTGCATTAAAAAATCTGCAAACAGCTGAAACATCTACACTGAGGAGTATTACCAANTGAGTACTATTCTGACCACTCCCATATTGATTTCAACTTAAGAGCCACTGTTAGACAGCTCTGTTTCAGCCTAATGAGCATCGTCAGTACCGGCAAGCGGTCCTCGATTGAAAACAAAATGTGAATAACCAAGAAAAGTACTCAATAGAAATAACTGCGTAAACGCAGTTATTTCGAAGACCGCCTTCCCGGTACTGACGATGCCCAATAGGCTGAAACAGCTGTCTACCGGTAGCTCTTAAATTGAAATCAATATGAGAGTGGTCAGAATAGTATTTGTCTTTTGATTTTCATGGAATTATTTTCCAGTAGCTTGACTACATTAATCTTTCTCAATTATATAATATATAGTCTTGATATCTACCGAATAATAATTCAATCAATGATTATAAGTGATTTATTATAAATTTACATTATTAAATAATTTTCATATTTTGTTGCATAAGATTTACAAATTTTTCAGATCTTACTCCACAACAGACTAACAAAAGGAATTCATTCTAATCATATCAATTGAGAGACTGAGAAGAAACATACCATTATTTGTGTTGAAATCTAGGTTTGACGTTAGGTAAATTTGTATAGTCAATCACTAGAATTCCCTTCGTATCATAAAATACCGAACCTCTCCAACAGTTCCGTGGCAGACTTTAATTCTCAAATAAAGGTTAAATAATATCATCATTATTTCAAGGAAACTAAGAAACGGCACACCATTTCGTAAGTGCTGAAATGTAGAGCTGTTGTTAAGGAAGCTTTGATGAGACTTGGACATAGTCCTTTGAAAAATCCTAGTACTCCTTCGTTTTGGTATATTTTCACGAGGCAATCAGTAAGTCCACTACATTGAAAATGTTTCCCAAAAACCGTTCTAGCATTTTCAAACCCTTGAATCTGAAGTCGTTTTTTTGCCAAATCAAATGGATAAATGCAGGTCTTCGCACAGAGTCCAGCCAAGCTACCAGCTACTAAACTACTAGAAAAACTTGTAGAATCTGAACCAATCACCCTCTTACATATATCATCAAACACTTTATAACACATAAATTGTATACCAGAATGAGGGCCTACTTGACCGATGGTGACTAAGAGCCCTCTAAACAAAACTGGAAATCCTTCTTTCGTGACCATGTCTTGAAATGAGTGCCAGACACCTTTATACAGTTTTTTTTGTTCACTTTGAGCAACGAGTCGCGTTCGAATTACATCAAATGGAAAAGATACTAAGGTAGCGGTGCATCCTGAAACAACAATAACTTCGATTATGCCTTTTCATATGAATATTTAACAGTTAGATAAGCTGAGAGGGGTGTGAGTAATAGAAACCATTTTCATCAACTCGGACTTCCATTGTCTAATATGTTATAAAATGATTTGAAATCCCTGAATCTGTAAAAAAAGATTAGCTGAAATAACTGAAACTGAAATTAAAATGAAATAACATACAAGCAACCCGTGGGTTGGGCTACCTATCGAGCGCGTCCCCAGGTTGCGGATAGGGAAACGGCCAGGGGACTGGAGTCTGGGAAGCCAATTTGGCCTTACGGAAGGAGTCACCGGACTACTGGTCAGTGGCAGAATTAGGTAGGATGAAGAGAACTGAAACTCCCCAAAAGCCGTTGCAAAACATGCCACCGTGAACCAGCCTACCCAAGCAAAGGTGTAAGGAATCGTGCCGACAGTTGAATGGCCGCAGGGTGATATGCAGTTACGAACGATCCCCTTGGGCGAAACCTCATTGTAATTAACCTTCCTCTCGTAATGCGGGGCTCTGCCAGAGATGACCAACTCTTTCCTTGCTACTCGTGGGAACACACACAAATGAAACAAACACAAAAACAGAAATAACACAAACCAATCCTGAGGCTGGACAGAAGTGCTCACCTCAATCTAAGGCGGTGGCTGGGGATAAACAGAAATGTAATACAAAGGCCAAGGCGTAAGCGCATTTGCGGCGCCGAGGCCAAAAGGAGAAAGAGAGCAAAAGAGGCAGAAGTGGCAGCAACTATAAGTGCACCCCACTCCACCTCCAACAGCAGGGGAACTTCCTGCAGCGGGCGCCAAGAGCTCCGCCTTGAGTAAAGGCAAGGAACCGGCTGCCCCTGCAGGAAAGCTCCCTTCACTTGTGCACCTCCACGGAGGGAACCCCAAGAAGGTTGAAGAAGCCGCGATGAAAATTCAAAATATAGAATTAAAAGATTACAAACCAAGTTACTTCACGACGTTACGATTGTTAGTATCCACAATCGTCTTCGGGTGATTCCTTCGAGGTCTGACTATTTATAGGCCATTCGAGTGCTTTCACCTATCCCCTCTTCTCTCTCTCCACTTCATCGGTTTTAGCGGGAGCTAACCATTTGGCGGGAGTTGGTCATGTTCCGCTTGAATAGAGGTTTCCATATATTACGTATCTCTACGCTCGCAGGGTATCCTGTAAATGTAATTCTTGGAATGGCAGTCCGCGTTTGGTGGCCTGGTTTTCGTGAGGCTGCTACGGATAGTGTTCCCAGATCTGAAACAAGTTCTGATGTTGTTCTTGGACCCAATCCTTCTTATCCTTTTTATTTTTTTTTACAGATTCTGTTGGAGATTTCGAATCAATTTATATTATATTTAGACAATGGAAGTCCGAACTCATAAAATGCGCCACGAGTTCGATCCTTAGGAATATATCAAGAATCCATGTTAGAACATAACATTTTTCCTTCTGAAGATGTGAAAAATATACATCACTTTATTGTATACCAAAAACTTTTGATTTGTCCAAAATATAGTTTAACTTCTAACATAGCTTAGCATTTCGTCAGGTACTTGTGAACAGTTGATATCGAAGTAACAAACAAAAAGTATGTAAGATCTTACAACAGCTTTGGCTCCGAGAATGGAGCCAAAGCTGTTCCGTATTTTGTTCCGGCTGTATTTGTGTCCATAAGCAGTGGTACTGTCACTCCACGACCACCTCTGGACCTCTAAGCCAGATCTGCAGCCTCCTCTCAAGGTGTTTAAACCTGCGACAGGAACATCAGAACACGTTATTAACCTTGTCAATAAAAATTATCAATAACACCTCGAACTAAGTTGTTCAAGTGACATATTGATGTAAAGTACGATTCACTACTTGATGGATAGTGTCTACTTTGAATCACAATGGCCGATGGCCGTTAAAGCACCTACGTGCTACGGTCGGTCGGTAGCCGGTCGGTTCGACGTGGGTGCTTTGTTCACTCGCTCAAATCGACCGCCGTGTTGGTTGGTGGTTCAAGCCTCAGGCTGAACGATCGATTTTCACTTGCTATCGTCCAACCCGAAAAGTGTTTACATTAGATTTATTTTATGCCTGAGGTTGCATAGCTACCTACAAAGTCCAGATGTTTTCGACAAACGACAGCACACTGCCCTGACTAATCTTCAAGTAGTTAGTGTCGCCTGTTTTACTGTAGTGGAAGGTATGAGTACAAATGCCACAGACAGGTCTCTCTGAGGCTCCAGACTTGTTACAAACAAGAGAGCAAACATCCATATATCAAAAAAGAAATAGTGTACAGCTCTCTCAGCATATCAATATGGATAGATTAATTTCCAATTATAAAATGTAATGAGGTTATCGATTTCCAATTATAACACAAAATAACCTATATAAGAAAAATATTTGTAAGCACTTATACTATCCTCAGTCACGAGTGTACTTACCTTTGATTCCACAAAGGTTTTTCAACACTAAGAAATACGGGCCAATAGGACCGGTCAAGCCAAAAGAAACTTATAATCTCTGAGGTATTATTAATGCACATTCTAATATTATTGAATAGTATTAGTGATTCATAGAAATTTGATGAATTCATCAATGTAAAATTTCTTGATTATAATATTTTGTTACTTGTTTTTTATTTAGGTCCGTCACACTTTTATCATTTGTTTTTAGTTTTGCTCTATGATTGTAGTGATAATTTCCACGGTTTGCCATTCCTGCGTTGTGTTTACCATAAACATCTAACCTACCATCGACCGTGAGTCACGCTGTATATAAATCCGTCACACTTTTATCATTTGTTTTTAGTTTTGCTCTATGATTGTAGTGATAATTTCCACGGTTTGCCATTCCTGCGTTGTGTTTACCATAAACGTCTAACCTACCATCGAACGTGAGTCACGCTGTATATATATATTTAGTTTTACCTAAAATGTATAACATTTTTTAAATTAAAGTATACATTGAGGATTACGTTTTTTATTAATGCTTTACGAAATTCACTATGTGCAATGAAGCTATAATGTTCAGCTTACTATAATAGGGTACACACTCAATATTAAAAGTGAGAGCTAAACTTTATTTGAATGAATACATAAAAGATGAACTTACTACTTCAGGAGTAACTTTTTTTTTTGTTACGTATCCTATCAAACATTTGTATTATACATACAGAGTGGTCAAAATTATGAATTTCAATTTTCATAAACGGAACTAAATTGTGTGCGATGAAAGGTACAAGCAAACATATCCTAAATGTTCTATCTGGTACCTGAACAATCAATTCTGATCAGATTACTAATCAGATATAACTGGGTTTTCAAAGTTCTGCCGGCAGTGCTTTCAAATATTCCAAAATCATCACCCAATTCTGCAAAAGTTGGACGATTTTTTTGAGAAGTGAGATAAACAGTCTAATCTGAATATTTCAGATATTCTTCTTTATCCATCATTTCTGTAAAATGTGAATAGCTGGAAGTGGCAGATGCACCTGAAGAAGACTTTATTGCTACTACTTAGACTTGATTCAACTGATATAATTTTTGTTAGGCACAAAAATTAATCTTCATTGGACGAAGGACTACTTTCATAATTGGAATAGTTATAGTAGAAGAGCTTCAACACATTAAAGTTGTTGGAAGTGGAACACTGGGTTGATTTGCTTCAATGTTTTGACTTTATTCGAACTTATGCTCCTGAAGATACAAACTTGTCAGTTTCTCCTACTTTCTGCTTTGATGGTTGATCTCCCTCTGTTTGCAAGTCCCCTCTTGATATGTTGTAACTATAGAGCAAAGTATCTCCTAGTAACACATCTACTACTTTCTTCGATTGCCAGTCACATATCGGTAAGTTTTCTTTTGAGGTACATGAGGTGTATTGACACATTTTCATTCTTGAAAATTTCAGAACCTTGTTTTCTATCCTGTTGACAATCGAACATGTGTCGGTGGAACTTATCTTGTTCAAGTCGCTTTCTAACCCCCATCATTTTCCATTCCATAAAACTTTGCAAATCTTATTGAAGCTAAAAATGATATTAATGAATAACAAAATAGAAGACGTTTCATATTTCTGAAATGACACGTAACACAAAGTGCCAAACATTTTTGAGTTGAATATTTTCCCAGCATTTGTAGAATGTTAAGTCGAAGTTACAATTTCATATTTTACCTAATATGAAAGATTGAAGAATACATCACATTACATTAATATATTCCGTATATAAGTTGAAAACTGATAACTCAGTTTTGCTATGCTCTTTACAAGAGGTAGAGTCCTTTATTTGTCCATTTTACATACTATAGTACATTTATTGCAAGATATATATACAGTGTGTAACAACGAAAACTTAACAGAGCCGTTTTTGAATATAAAAAGTAAGATTTTTTAAAAAAAACTCGGACACGTCGATTTCTAATTGAAGGGGGACACCTTTCAGACTAATCAGATTTTTTGTAGTACGCACCCCCTCGGAGGGGTGCGTCCGACGACCCTTATTTAGATAGGGAAAGTAGGACGAGTGGTACCTTGTTTTAAAGGTCTTTCGAATACCTTTACATCTCTGTTAAAAAAAATTTTTGTAACGATTAGTTTTCGAGATAATTTGAAGATTTAAAGGTATTTTTATCGAGTTCAACTCTTTTTAAAATAAATCAGATTGTTTTTAAGGTACAATTTACGTTCAGAACTTTCATAAAAAAAATAAATTTTTGCTTTTTATGACAACCTGCTAATACGTGTCCATTTGATTTCGTAAAAAAGTAAGAATTATTTGTTTATTACGAGGAGGTTTTTTCGGGGGATAATTTCATGTGTTTGAACTCCAACACATGAAATTCATAAATATAACACAGTGAACAAGTTTATAAAATATATTGCTTTCAAGTGATCTTTTTTTTTCATGAACTGGCATACCGAAACTATACGCAGAGCACATATACTAATACTACACTTCTATACTAATAATAATAATTTTTAGTCTCAAGAAACACACAGTTTTTAGACACGTCAATACAATAAGTCTTATAAGACTTGACTAAAATATAAAGCCATGAGCTTTTACAAATTATAAATCATATAGCTAACGTATTATATATATATTCAAAATTGAGTAAAAGTTCGGGAGGTGACCACAAAAGTGTCTCTTTCTTCTTGGATAACTTCGAAAAATTGATCAATTTCATATAAAGGATGTTTGGTTAATATTTTCTTCAATAAGTTTTTGAATCTTCTAAATGGCAAGTTACGAAATTCGAAATTGTATAGCTTAATTCCTATATTATCTGTTCTTTTCAACCTATTAGCTGTAGGAACAAGGTTTGATTTATTTCTTGTGTCATGTTGGTGTACCGTAAGACTGTTTATCTTAAATAGTTCTAATTAAAAGTCCGCAATAGCATATATCTACTTCTTATGTGGTAGCCACTATATGTAAAACACTGAGCCATAAATACAATTAAATTGGAGTTTTTTACAATGCACATTTTAGAATATCTGTCAAATTCTTATAAAAATTGATATAATAATTGTTGTTTCAAGTTTTTAATATAAATAAATTTTTTTTTACACTAAGTTATTTGGACGAATCATATAAAAGTTATCACAATAAGATTAACTTGACGCAACGCAGTCAGCCAGTACGCGTCGCGTCTACTGTAAGACGACGAGAAACGCAGATACGACAAGTAATATCGAACAAAACTAGTGACTTTTAATTAATATTTGACCTAAGTTTCGTTAATTTAGGGAAGTTCAAACTATATGTTGACAACCTATATAAAACACTTGGTAATGTAGTTAGACCACTAGTATTGTGAGTAAAGTGATCCCCATAAATAAAAGTGGTAATAGATCAGATATGGATAATTATAAACTGATTAGTCTTCTCACTATATTTTCAAAAATTTTATAGTTAACAGTTGCCCTGATATCTTTCTTGATAGAATCAATTATTATTTCAGTTATAGGCATATCCATCAATTAAATTTACCTGCAATAGATCCACAACAAAAATTCACAACAGGTGCATTGCTTGAATTGTAATAGTGTTGGGCCTTCTTTGATAATACTTCAAAAGACCAGAACTGGACAGTTCCATAGGTTACAGACAACCACTGTGCAGGAACATGTCCTTTCCAGAACGCTTTGATACCCTCTTCATGAAATATTACATTCACAGCCTGGATAACAGAATAATATTTTGAGTGTGATTTATTAGAGATAGGTTCTACTTGAAGCTGAAATCTAATTTTTAGGACATCCAAAGGTTGACATAGAGATCGAGTTATAAATCCCGAAAGTCCTCCAGCTATGGCAAAATCCAGTTGTGTTAAGTTTTTATGTTTCTTGTATCCGACCATTTCTATTTAACCTATCATCAACTGAAATCGAAGGGAAAAAAAATTGGAAAAAATTCTAGCGATTAGACCCATAGCACAGCATAGGTTATCTATGTCCACAGACGTAATAATATGGACTTCACTTCGTCACTTTTGCATATTATTATATTTCACAGCGTTTTGGCAACTGCGTCACAGCACAGTGTAACAAATCAATTTCTAAAATTTTCTCAATAGAAATATGCGTTGTAGTGAAGGTAATATATAGATTCTGGCTCAGAATTCCATAATTTTCTTATGGTGCTTCTTTTTAGTTATTTTGAAACATTTCAAGGTCATTCGAGCTGATCGGCGAAGAAGATCCTCGTGAGTGAATATCGTTTGGGTGGTCGTATTAAATGAAATTGAACTCGAAAGATGAGAGTTGAATAATGATTGATAATGATAATTATTCTAAAACATGAGGTTGAATAATAATAATAAAACATAAAAAACATTGAAGGAGACGTCGTCGGTGGCGTTGTAGAAAATGTGTAATGATTCGTGAAAATTACTGCAAAGAAGTAACTTTCACTCAAACTGGAAAAAAGAGCCCTCCTGAAACAACTACTTTCATATAAACATTGAATTACACGAAAGAAGAATTCTTTCGAAACAAATAGTTTTATATGAACACTGATATTAGAAAAAAACTTTTCTCTACTGTTTGTATTCCAAACATTCGTTATGGAACTGAATCAGATATCATTCACAGGATTTCTACATAATATACTAAATGAAAGGAAAAATTTCACTGACATCGACGTTTCGCCCTAAGACACTTGCTTTAGGGCTCTTCAGTACCGTGCGCAAATGGAACGAAATACAACTTTTGTGTGTGCGATTTTTGATTAGTTTCTTTTGCTGTGAATAGCTGTAGGGGGTCCACCGGAACCAGCAAAATTTTGATATGGTCTATGATCAAAACAAGTTTGGGAACCTCTGCTCTACGGGAAATTTGGTCATAAGATAGATACAGAGAGAGAGAGAGCAAATCAGTGCGAAAAAGACAACTTTTAATGCTCTGAGAGTGCAACAGTGACAGTGACAGGTGCCAAATTGCCAAATCACGATTATGAACTATGGGTTGATGGAATGTCAAAATAAAAATACTTCAATGAAGTAGTTTTTAAAACGTGTACTAAATTCAGATGATAACACTTTTTCAAAAGAGTATTCAAAATGAATTTACCTGGCAATGGAATTTTTGTAGTAAAAGGTGAAATATCTGTTTTGATGATAGCAATGCGCCGTGGAACAAGATGGTCTTCACACTCCTATCAAGAAGATGATGCCCTTATGAAAAATTTTCAGGAACTCCGTGAAATACTTGATAATGTAGATGACTTGAGATTTGTTGAACCCATCACTTTTCTGTCACCTTTTTTAAATGTTATAAGATCTGAAGAAACTACAGGTCCTGTCACCAGTTTAGCATTATCATCTGTTAACAAGTTTCTATCATATGGTATCATAGGTAAGTACTCCACTAGTATACCGAACATATGTGTAAATTAAATGAATTTTTAGATCCTATGCACGCCTCGATACCACAAGCTATACACAACATTGCAGATGCTGTTACACATGCAAGATTTGTAGGAACAGATCAGTCCTCAGATGGTGTAGTTTTAATGAGAATCCTTCAGGTATTGAGAACTCTCACTTTATCTCCCGAGGGGGTTAATCTAACAAATGAAAGTTTATGTGAAATTATGCTGTCATGCTTCAGGATATGTTTTGAAACAAGACTCAGTGAACTTTTGAGAAAAACTGCTGAGCATTATTTGAAAGATATGGTTCACTTAGTTTTTATGAGACTTCCACAGTTTTGTGAGGATTTAAGAACAACCAGTATAAAACAGTTTCAAATGCGTACGGGAACTTTGGACCAGACTAGAACAAAACGAAAAAATAAACAGACATACCGAAAAAGAGAAAAAGTTGATTCTGAAGGTATTCAGTCCTTTGTTCCACCAAAAGTAGTTCAAGATTCAACTCCAAGTTCCATATCGTCAACACCATTAACAACCCTATCTGTTAGTAATGTAGTAGATTTACAAGGTTCTATTTTACAAAATATTCATTCCATGAGTTGTGATACCATTGAAGTAAGTGAACTTTCGTTTCCATCACCTGTTCAGAATGAAGGTTATATATCTGATTTGGAGTCAGGTATTTTTAGTACTCAATCTAATAATTCAGAAATGAAAAATGTTCAATGTGACGATCAAATTTCAAATACCACTGAACACAATCATCATGTTGAGACTGAAGTATCCCAAATTAACTCACAGGATGATATAACAAAAGCAAAAGAAACCGTCAATGATGGCACATGTGATTCTTCAAATGATTCTAGTCAAGAGTATGTTAATCAAAGAGGTATAAGGTTTACCCCACAACTCCACCAAGAACTAATATTGTCTCCATACGGCCTTGCATGTGCCAGAGAGCTTTTCAGATTTTTAATAAGTCTTTGCAATCTATTAGATAAACAAAATACTGATGTTATGATTCATCTAGGATTGATTTTATTAACCGTAGCATTTGAAGTTGGTGCTGAAAGTATAGGAAGATACAACACTTTACAGTTTTTAGTCAAAGATGATTTATGCAGAAATTTATTTTCTTTAATGAGTACTGAACGGCTCTCGGTGTTTGCTGCAGACTTACAAGTAGCATTTTTGATGTTCCAATCTCAAAGGAGTTTTTTGAAATATCAGTTGGAATTCTATTTAAAAAAATTGATGGACATTTTATCGAGCGATTCAACTAAGATAACCCACGAACATAGGGAAATTGCTATGGAAAACCTGCTCCAGTTGTGGAGAATACCTGGTTTCCATACTGAGTTATATTTAAATTATGATTGTGACCTATATTGCCTCAATCTATTTGAAGAATTTACAAAGTTGTTAGCCAAATTTACGTTTTCTGCGACAAATGGATTGAATCAAACACAATTGTTGTCATTGGATGCACTTCTTATCACTATTGAAGGAATTGAAAAGCGATGCAAAGAGAAAAGCAAACAAAAAATATTAAATAATGAAATAAGCTTAAATGACAGTGGATCTAGAGAAAATATATATAATTATAATAGATCTTCAAAAGTGAAATCAGCTGATAATGTGCCAAATAAGGAAGAGCTAGCACATAAAAAGTTTTTGAAAAAATGGTTACCTCAGGGTACAGAGTATTTCAACCAAAAACCTAAAAAAGGTATAGAATTTCTTCAAGAACATGGGTTTCTTAAACCTGTATTAGACATAGAAGAAATTGTGATGTTTTTGCGAGAAAATCCTGGTCTAAGTAAAGCTATGATTGGTGAATACATAAGCAATAGGAGCAATCTGAAGATTTTAGAAGCTTTTGTGAAAACATTCAACTTTACAGACGTTAGGATAGATGAAGCTTTGAGAGCGTTTTTGGAATCTTTCAGATTACCTGGTGAAGCACCTACAATTTCACTTATTTTAGAACATTTTGCAGATCATTGGCACAAAAGTAATGGGGAACCTTTTGCTGATGTTGATTCAGCCTTTACTTTGGCCTATGCAATAATTATGTTGAATGTGGATCAACATAATGAAAATGCAAAAAAACAAACTGTACCAATGAGTGCTTCTGCATTTAAAAAGAATTTGAAAGGCGTTAATGGTGGAGATGACTTTGATGAAGAACTACTTGATGAAATTTATAATACAATAAAAAATGATGAAATTGTCATGCCTGCAGAACAAGCGGGTATCATCAGAGATAATTACCTCTGGAAGTTACTGTTACGGAAAGGTCAATCAAAAGAGGCTTCGTATGTTCATGAAAATAGTGGCACATATGATTTTGAATTATTCCAGATTCTATATGGTCCAGCTGTGTCTGCTCTATCATCTGGTTTTGAAAAGAGTGACAATCCAAGTATATACAAAAAAATAATGAAGGGATTTGAACAGTGTGCCTTTATAGCTTCTAATCTGAATATTCCTAAGAGTTTAGACATGCTTCTTTTGACAATCTCTAAATTTTCTCTATTCCATAATGGGGGAAGACAAAACAATGTTGTTATTCAGTTTGGAGCAAATAATAAAGCACAATTGGCATTGAAAACTTTTTTTGCCTTGTTCCATCTTCATGGCAATAGCATTACAGAAGGTTGGAAAACTTTGTTTGATCTAATGTTGTCCTTATACACCAATGACTTGCTCTCCAAAACTTTCACTGAAATTGAAGATTTCATTGAACCAAGTGGAAAATTTGTGTTACACTTTGAAGAGGCTCCCAATTTGGAAAAACAAGATACAGGTCTCTTAAGCTCATTATATTCCTACATGGTTTCAGCTGAAAATCTCTCGAAAGTACCAACACCTGAGGAACAATATTTTATTGAAATAACCAAAGAATGTATAAAAGATTGTAATTTGGATCAGTTGATAACCGACTCTAAATTTCTCCATGAAAATGCTCTTCTGGAAATGGTTAAAACTTTGATAGAGTTATCCAGAGGACCTGACATTCAAGAAAGCCTGGGGTACAACTATAATCAGAATGTAACAGTGTTTTTCTTGGAACTCCTTATAAAAATTGTTATGCAAAATAGAGATCGAGTAATGTCAATATGGCAGAATGTACGAGACCACATATATACTATTGTAATGAATGCATCTCTGTTTGATTACCAGTTCCTTCTGGAGAGGTCAGTAATAGGATTATTACGAATAGCTATACGTTTGATGAGAAACGAAGAAATGAGTCATATAGTTCTGCAGTCACTTCGAATGCTTCTTCTGCTGAAAAGTAGTACATTAAGCAGAATATCCCGACAGATCTCGTTTGGATTATTTGAATTATTGAAAACTTCTGCACAGAATATACATACTAATACTGACTGGACGATTATTTTCACACTTCTCGAATGTGTCGGAGCAGGAGCCCAACCACCTAAGCCTATTTCAGAAGATTCATCTTTGCTGAGCCATGAGATTAAATCTGGCGAGGAATATCCTGATAATACTAGAGAAGACGATGCCATTGTTGATAGAGGATACAAATCCGATTCAGAGCTAACAAAGAGTACCAAACATGACCAAGAGCATCAAAAAAGTTTTGTTCCTGTTTCACCACTTGGAACGCCTAGTACTGGAGGTTGGATACTGGTTGGTAACGAAGGTGAAATTCAACCCGTCATGGGCAGAACTGTGCCACCAACCCAATATGAACTTTGTTTGGAAAAGAACTTGGGAATTCATGATCCTCGTAGTATGATGAAGTGCTGTGAAAGCCTTGCATTTTTAGTTAGAGATGTAGCTCATATAACACCGTATAATTTTGATATTTGTGTTCATTGTATCAGGACATTTGTTGAGGCAAACGTACAGAGTTGTAACGGAACTAAGAGATTCGCTAATCACGAATCTAGGCCACGAATCAAATCTAACCGAGCAAGATTGAGGGTTTCCAGAAATAGAAAAAGTCCGACAAGCAGCCCAGATGAGGATGAAGAAAGTGAAGAAGAGGGGGTACCTAGTGGCTATCATCAAATTTCAATACAGTTACTGGATCTCATGCATACACTACATACTAGAACTGCTCAAATTTTCAAGTGGTGGGCTGAAGAAGGTGGAGAAGTTTCACAAGAAACATCCTTGTGGTCCCAAGGTTGGTGTCCTCTTTTACAAGGAATTGCTAGGCTTTGTTGTGATTCTAGATATCAAGTCAGAACAAGTGCCATAACATACTTACAAAGAGCCTTATTGGTTCATGATCTGCAAACTTTGAGTGGTCCAGAATGGGAACAGTGCTTCCAGAGAGTCCTTTTTCCTTTGCTGAATTACCTTTTACAGCCAACGATGCCGAAAGATGCTGGTTCAATGGAAGAAACCAGGATGAGAGCAGCTACTCTTTTATCGAAAGTTTTCCTTCACCATCTAACTCCTTTATCATCTCTCTCTACATTCAGTAATTTATGGTTGATTATACTCGATTTTATGGATAAGTACATGCATGCAGATAAAAGTGATTTGTTGTACGAAGCTATTCCAGAGTCTTTGAAAAATATGCTGTTGGTCATGGATTCCGCAAAAGTATTTGATGGGCCTGAAGGTAGAAGTATGTTGTGGAATGCTACGTGGGAAAGAATAACTAAGTTTTTACCAGAATTGAAGAATGACCTTTTCAGGGAAATTGAGAGTGAATCCCAGGCTAGTGTGGAAGACAAACTTCTAGAAAATATACGAAACACTCAACAGTCATTTGAAACTAAAGAATCAACTCCATATTCNAAATGATTTGAAATCCCTGAAACAACTAAAAAGGAGAATTAAAAATGAATAGCTGAAAATAACAATTGTATTAAGCAAAAATAATAATTTTTGCTTCAATTCTCCTTTTTAGTTGTTTCAGGGATTTCAAATCATTTTATATATTAGACAATGGAATTCCGAACTAGTGAAATTCCTATTAACCCCATTCCCAACAACTTTTCTAAGTAACATTTTGACACAACATGAACAATGTGAAAACATCTGAAATAAAATGGTTTTTGTTTCACAGCCAAGACTAACTTTTTTTTCAAAAACTGAAAATATTCTTAAAATTAATATCTCATCAAGCAAAGCATAATTCCATAAGCTTAACCACTGATTGACATCTTTGCACTTAAATGTAACGCGATGATGAGGTCAGTAGCCAAAAACACGTGTCTGCAATATACCTGTCTTTTGAGTGTTCAAGAACACGAACTCTCCTCTTGTTAGAGATCAATATTTTATATAATTTTTTTGGGTTGGACTCATGTTGAAATAAAAATAAAAAGCTTCTGTTTCGCCCCTGGCCATGAAATGTAGGCAGGTAATGAATTTATTTATCAACTAGCCGTCAGGATAACAAAATGACGTCAGAGTTATCAGCTAGGAAACTAGGGAAAATATTGTCCAGTGAAAAGAGTATGGTATCAAGTTCCTATCATTCTAAAAATACTGAGTTGTCAATCCTTTTCCATGGAAAACGAAAAATTTCGCCCCTCCCCCTCCATTTTTGTGAACATCCTATGATTCATGAAATCTAGATTGATGACATTTAATACATGAAAAATGAGAATTGAAACTCTATGTTTTTTTACCATTTTTATTCGCAACTAACGTTACTGCTGTTTGTCCTATAAGTACATTTTCAAACTTATTCATCAACCTATAACTTATACATTAATGTATAAGTTTGAAAATGTCCTTTTAGGACGAAACTGCAGTTAAGTTAGTTACAAATAAAAGTGGTTAAAATTATAGAAAGTTTCAATTCTCATTTTTCATGATAATTTCCTACCACGTAGTAACTGCTACATCCATCAATTTATTGAAATTTGATACATATGCCATTGAATAAATATCTCCCTGTACATTTTATGCTATCGAAACCCATTTCTGTAAGTTGGTACATGAAATAGACTATAATCGAATGAGCTATTAATTTTGCAACATAGAAATATCATATAACTGATTTTTTTTATATTGTCAATTAACATTGATTCTGTGGAAGTGTAGATATAAATACTGTGTTATTTTGTAAATATTATGTTACGCCAATATGTGTAAAGTTATTGAAAATAAAATAAATACAAGATTACTTCAGTTCATATGGATACCTGATAGCAAAGTATCCATAAAAATTGAAGAATTATTTCGTTTTATTATTAAATTTCTTTTATTTATTTCATGACTTCCTTTTTCATCATTACTTTTGTATCACCAAGCAGCTTTCCTGATCTGTTAAAAAATCTTTTTTTCGTTAACCAGCTGACGCACCCCTACGAACGACAATCCTTAGAAGTCGAAACTTGTGCGAGCTAAGGATTAACGAGGTCTTACCTTTTAACGCGTGATTCCTAACACGGGTTAAACGATAGCAAGTGAAAATTGATCGTTCAGCCTGGGGATTGAACCACCGACCAACACTGCGGTCAGTTCGAGTGAGTGAACAAAGCACCCATGTCGAACCACCTGGCTACCGACCGACCAATGCATCTTCAAGCTGTTTGGTAGAAATTCGGAAATCTAATAAAAAAAAATATCCTATTATAAGTTAGCTCTCTTGGCGACAATTTCACTTGTTTCACATATAATCTTCAAAATTTTGAAACGTCAAGTAACTAAGCTCGAAAATGAGCAACTTTTTTCTAATTTAACCGACTTTGTATCTTGGTTGGTAAATGCAAGTTCCCGATATTCCCATACTGGGCCTCTGTGCAAAGCTTATTGTTAAATCATCTGAAAATGGAACTTCCAACAGGTGATGATCAACTGTATTGCCAAACTAACTGACTATTATAAGAAAACGTATACCTAGCTGAGGCACCAGTCAATCTAATCAATCAATCTAGAGTCGATCACTATATTTAAAACAACTTCCGAATTTCTGCCGAGGTCGTCACGAGGCCCCAACAGAACGTTTTGGTATAGTTGTCTTCTGGGAAGGTTCGGTTTGTTTCATCAGGACTTACATAGCCTGTCACGCACCAATCTGATAACAACCATGATCAAAAGATATGTAAAATAGATTTCTAACGAAAATACCTTTTTAGAATGCCTATAGTGAGCACTCTCCAAGGCACTGATTCTATATTTGGAGAAGTCGATGAGAGTCAACTACCTAAAGATGACAGATCCCTAGAAATGTGAATTACAAAAAGTCTACCTCCCAACAAGTGACTGAATATTTGATCAATGTACGTTGAGAAGCTGTGTTTATTTGGTCGAGTGTGATTAGATGTGACCCAAAATAAACCCTTGCAGGTTGCGGTGGAGGGTCGAATAGATCTACTCTTTTGACCTAACCTAACCAAAAGTTGAGTGCATCCAGTTAACGATACTTGCATATTCTTCTTTCTTTTTCTGAGGATATTTGATTCCAACCTGAATTTTTTTTCAATTTGGTATGGTCGAAGTAATTGATATAGTAATTCTTATAGCTATCGGCGAACTCAAAGGCCAAAAAACCAATGTAAAGAAATAATGCCCCTACGAATTAATCCACGTGGACTGAAGAACTGGCGGTTTGTATTGCATAATTTTTACTAACCAAGTTTTATGATTGGCTGAAGAGTAATAAAATTAAATTTGAACTCATATTACAGTGACCAAGTACCGCCGTTTTGTCATCAATGTTTAGTTCAGGAACTGATCGCGATTTGGGTGTTGAAATTCGATATTGGTGAAGTTATAATTTTTGTTATTTGTTTAAAATGTGGCGTCCTTGGACAAGTACTAATAATAATAATAACGAGTGTGATAACAAAGCAGACTTTTTCCTGTGTAGTGATTCCAATAGCGCTGGTGAACAATGCGAAAAAGATATACCAGTGAATAAGATTCGGATGAATTTGAATATTGAAACACAGAGAGTATGTTCCAACATATATAAGAATCTACATCTCAAGTTTGGTTTCGAGGGAAACAAACTATTACAAGCTACATCAGATTTGACCGAAATTCCTTTCTCAACTGTACGTAAAATATTCAAAAACAAACCTTATGAACGGAAGACGCGATGTGATGTGGGATTATCAAAACATTTAGATGTCCATCTAATAAAATCATTAAAAAAAACAATATACGACTGTTACAAAAGCAATGTGATTCCCACAATTGAAATCATAAGGAAGAAATTGAATACTTCCGGGTGCTGTGACAAAACTCTTCAGAATTGGATAAAGAAACTAGGATTTAGATTTAAAATAATAAACAAACGTCAAGCAGTTATGGAAAACAGAAGAATAGTTGAACTGTGTAACAAATACTTAGAACAAATATCAAATATAGACAAGAACGGCAAATTTTCTATTTGGACAAAACTTGATATGACACTCACGACACAGTTACGAAAGGGTGGACTGATGGTTCGAGAATGTGTACGCCTAACATGCCTGCAAATTATGGATCGCGACTAATCATTGTGCAATGCGGAGGAATAAAGGATGGGTTCCGAATTCTTTGAAATTATGAGGAAAAAACTTTAGGACTGCAATGTTGAATATCATAAGAACATGGAAGCTAATATTTTTGGGGAATGGTTTGAAAACACATTGGTCTCAAATTTGGATGCGAATAGTGTAATAGTTCTTGACAACGCTTCCTATCATTCGCGACAGCTCATCAAAGTACCAAATAAAAATTCGAGGAAAGTTTTTTAGTGGATAACAACTTTTTTTTTGAAGATAACTATACCAAAAACCAACTTCTTGAAGTTTTACAGACAAACACATTTAAAAAAGTGTATGCCCTTGAGAGTATTGCTGAAAAGTATGGACACACCATATTGAGACTTCCCCCCTATTTTGTGTTTTCAATCCCGTCGAGTTGATTTGGGGAAAATTGAAACAAAGCATCAGGCGTAACAATAATTTTCCAAAATTTGAGAGGAAGGTGATAGAGCTAGTTAAAGAAGAAGTATCTAATAATACCGAAGAAGACGGGCAGAAAAGGATTAAAAAAGTAAAGCAAGGGTTTATTGTGGATCTTATATAATCAGACATGATTATTGAATAACAAAATTAATTAGTTTCCTAACTATTTTATTAAAGGGGAACTGCTGAAAGGTTGGGTGCACTATATCGTTTACTTAAACTATAGATGATATTAAAACTAAAGCAAATGAACTTCAAAACGTTCAAGCCAGTCTCTATGTACCTACACAGTAGGTTTAATGGACGGATATAATCCAACGCCCTTCGTGTTATTAGCCAGGGGAGTAGTTGTTTTTTTGATAGGCGTTAGTCCATTAAACCTACTGTGTAGGTATATAGAGACTGGCTTGAAGGCTTGAACGTTTTGAAGTTCATTTGCTTTAGATTTGTTTTTTGCCAGTCTTCAAGCATAGCCCACTGACTAATAAGAAAATATAGATGATATTGTCTACAGGCAAGCATTCCTTGATGTGTTAAAATGAAATTCTAACAATGTTTAGTCAACTATGAGACAAATTATATGACATTGAACAAATAACATTTAAAAACGGTATGAAATATTATTTATAACTTTAGTGCGGACTTCTGTTTTGTAAATTTGATTATACGAGTATTTTCCACATAAAAATATTAGGGTGCTTCGAACAATTTCATCTTGAAAGTTGCTTGTGTTTAGGATAAGTTTCATGATTACATAGTTGTTTAGAAAAAAATTAACACCCAGTGATTCTGATATCGATTGTAAATTGAAACAATATTTTATTTAATTATTCAGTAGCTGAAAGTTAACAAAAAAATATATAATATTAAGTATAATTCAAATAGAACTGAGGTATTGTTTAATGGCTTCTGAATCCCTTTTCAACCAAGCCGTATTCAACTGGATTGTCTCTACTGATTGTTGAACGGTTNACTCTACTCGGAATGCCCACTTATTATTACCTAGTCAACATCGCACTGCTCTTTTCCAAAGAAGTTTTGAGTTTCAAGGCTGCAAACTTTTTAATAAACTCCCCGACAATATCAGAAATTCTGAAAATGTACACATTTTTAAATCAAGACTGAAGCAACTTCTTCTGTCAAAGAACTGCTACAGTATTGATGACTTTTATTTTCGTTTTCAACTTTCTGATTCGAAAATAACCATTGAGCTAAGATATAGAAGAGAAAGAGTCGTGATTAAGAAAATATTTTGACAGAGGGAATGTATGAAGAATTCTCTTCTAAAAATATATCCCGTTCAATTTCAATATATAATCATGTATTAAAGCTATCGTTTGGGGTTTTGGGCATAATCTGCAGTTCTGTGTGACCAATGGCTATCTTCTAGGGCGGGTACAATTTGGTTTTAAATGAGCATCAAAATCTCATCTCAGTTGGCGCGTACTTTATTATTTTGCGTGTTCAGTTCTATCCCATTGGTGGTGTGCTTCGAAAACTCATTTATAATTCATTTTCATTCGTCCCTCGATCTTCTATTTGAATTCCTAACTTTTGATTGGCAAAAACTTACCGACATAGCAAATTCAAGAACTTTCTGCAACAACTCTGGATGTTTGGCGGCTCCAAGAGATCGACTTATTCTATCCTTTTCCTCATGCAAATCTGTGGATCTGTATAATTCCAATAATTTGTGATACTCTTCTTCACCTCCTGCTCTAAGAACAGTCTTATAACAAGCACTACGGACGTCAGCTGACAAGATTTGCTCAGACTTCAGATGAGACGAAAATCTGGTTTGTGCTTCTAATATTGAATCTTTGTCATCTAGCCAAACAAATCGACCCAAAACTAAACCTCTGAGCAACTTGTGCAGGTGAGATTCACCTGGTTTCTGATTCCAACCAAGCCTCTGATATAATTTACTCAGAAGTTGCCTTTGATACTGAAACATAAGAAAGATTATTGTACATAAATGAATTATTTTGTTAATTTTGAACGCCCTAGCATTCTTTCACCATATTATTTCTAATTGTGTAATAAGTTTTAGCGAGGTGCAATGTTTCAAATCAAATTATACTTTATAATAGGGGAGCCCAAGGGGGGATTTCGGGATTCACTAAAGCGCGGCAGATTAATATACAGGGGGATACCTTGTACCCGGTTAAGTACCTCCACCAAATATGAGCCCCATATATAAGGCCGCTCGTGAAGGATAANGTCTTGAAATTACCTAAAGAATTGTCTGTTAAATTTATGGTACATACTTAATTAACACCTTGTATATATATTTAAGAAGATTGTTATTCAAGTTGATTTGTTAGAAAACAAACTATTGGGTATACTTTCAGATTGTTTTTATATAAGATCGAATAATCTATGAAATGAGTTGATTCATTCAAGTCTTTTAACTTTTGAAGAAACTTTCAATAAGGGTTTCTAATATTACTTACCCGCTTATAATCCGATTCATAATCAGTATGTCCTAAAAGTTGGCCAATTCTACCAAGTATGTTATTGATTGAAGTCCATACATTATAATCTGGTTCATTTTCATAAGCCTTAAGCAATTTAAGTACTTCAACAGTACTATTATGGCCAGCTTTCACCATAGCAAAGAGATCATCCGAAAGTCCTAGTCTAGAAAATGATAAAAATTGTTTGATTCACTGTTTTATATAGGAAATAACACATCAGGAATCAGAAAACCTAACGATATATGAAAAAATAATATTTGAAATAATATGATGAAGACCTTGGTTTAACTAAGGATGAATATACATGAAGTGAAATGTTTTCAAGTGAACAAATTTTTTGTTTCGGCAACAAAACAAACATGCTTTGTATGTTTTTATAATACTTTGTACAATTAATTATTATTCAAGGTGAGTTGAGAGTTATTTGAAACTTTCTTTCAACAAATAAGGATTCCAACTTATGACCCTGTCTTGTAATACTTAACATTTGGAGTAAGAGCGATACTTCACAAAAACATACTTCGGGGTGGTAGTCAGAACAATAAATATATTCCGGAGAGGTGTATACAATATACTGCGTTTACTCAGTTATTTTCATCAGGTACTTTTCTTGGTTATTCACATTTTGTCTTCAATCGAAGACCGCCTGCCCGTTATTGACACTGCCCAATAGGCCGAAACAGCTGTCTACCGGTGGCTCTTAAATTGAAATCAATATGGGAATGATCAGAATAGTACTTATCTATTTATCAGGAAACAACACATAAGCATGGAATCAACAACAGGAGCCAACCGCACATTTGTGGTTCCAGTTAGAAGACCGAGAATTCCCAGGCTACATCTAACATGACCACGTAGGCAGCTATAGCTACCTGCGTGACATCCATGTCCTGTTGGTGACACCACGCATATGTGAAGTTTTTCATTTTTGGTAACCAGTTGTTGCCCATCTTTACACTTGGCTACACCGCGCTGATGAGGCCAATAGCCAGAAACACGTGTCCGCAGTCTGCCCCACTTTTTGGAGTGTTGTGTCCACGAATTGTTTCATTTTTTATTTGTATCATGCACACTCGATAAAATCTCTATTTGTATTTATATCCTGGACCCAGATGTCACGCAGGTAGCTATAGATGCCTAGGTGGTCATGTAAGATGTAGCCTGGGAATTCTAGGTCTTCTAACTGGAACCACAAATGTGCGGTTGGCTCCTGTTGTTGACTCCTTGCGTTCGTGTTGTTTCCTGCTTTCGGCAAACAAGTGTTGCCCATCTTTACACTTGGTTGCACCGCGCTGATGAGGCCAATAGCCAGAAACACGTGTCCGCGGTTTGCCCCCCTTTTTGGAGTGTTGTGTCCACGAATTGTTTCATTTTTTATTTGTATCTTGCACACTCGATAAAATCTCTATCTGTATTTATCATTTCATTTAATTTTTATTTGTCTCAAAAAAATTTTATAGACATGTCCAAATCTTAATCCAAATAACTAAAGATAGATGATAGAATAATTTGTAGTCCTGGGAATATAATCGAGGTTGACAATAATTGTGATATGGGATATTGAAGAATAAAAACATATATGATCTACATACAAGATAAAATACATTTTATGGGATGACTAAATATGAATATATAAAATGTATGAATTATATATAAAACACAAATGTATAAAATATATGAAATATGATGTATAAAATGTAAAAAAAAATATGTGAAATGTATAGAACGTCAAATGAATGAAATATAGATAAATGTATGAATATATACCGTAACAATAAAATGGGAAATTATATTCAATCACTGTGATCATCCATGAACAAATGCCGATTTTCAGCGATCAACTGAGTAAATTCTTGGAAGTTATAAATACAGTTACTAGATAAGATACATTTCAATTTGGATTTGAATTTTTTTGGAGGTAAATCTCGAAATTGAGATGATAAGCTGTTACAGAGTCCCATATCCATTTTGGTAGTTTTTTGAAGCCTTGTTTTTGGTTCAACTGTTCTGGTTTTGAACCTAGTATCATATTCATGTATCTCTTCACAAGTTTCATAGCAATCAATATTATTTTTAATATATATTAGTTTGTGGTATATAATTAAGGCATAAACAGTCATTATTCCTAGAGCCGGAAATAAAGGCCTACAATTAGCCTCCCAATTTGACTTTGTAATACATCTTATGACAGACTTTTGTAAAATTAGTAGTTCAACTATGTGTGTTTGAGCTGCATTACTCCAAGATAAAGTAGCATACTGAAGATGTGAATGGGATAGACAGTCATAAAAAGTTAGCGCTTCTGTTTGATTTACAAGGTCTCCAACTTTTTTAATAGCAAAAACAGCCTTGGGGAGTTTAGTACACAAAAAATTCACATGTGACCACTGGAGGTGACTGTCAATTGGTACACCTAGAAATTTCACATTTCCATACATTTCTTCCTGATTAACAGAATTATTTAGCCTACAATCAAATTTTAGGCTTACAGTTTTACTCTCATTCAGTACGAATTCATTGCTGGCGAAGCATGTATGTGCTTGTTGTCTAACATCATCCTGGGCTATTTTGAGATATTCATCCCTTTCTATACTGATTGTGAAAAGCGTCATCTGCAAAGAGTACAGATAATCTTTTATATCCTGGACCCGGATGTTACACAGGTAGCTATAGCTGCCTACGTGGTCATGTTAGATGTAGCCTGGGAATTGTAGGTCTTCTAACTGGAACCACAAATGTGCGGTTGACTCCTGTTGTTGACTCCGTGCGTATGTGTTGTTTCCTGATTTCGGCAAACAAGTGTTTCCCATCTTTACACTTGGCTGCACCGCGCTGATGAGGCCAATAGCCAGAAACACGTGTCCGCGGTTTGCCCCCCTTTTTTGAGTGTTGTGTCCACAAATTGTTTAATTTTTGATTTATATCATGCACACTCGATAAAATCTCTATTTGTATTTATCCTGGACCCGGATGTCACGCAGGTAGCTATAGCTGCCTCCGTGGTCATGTTAGATGTAGCCTGGGAATTCTAGGTCTTCTAACTGGAACCACAAATGTGCGGTTGGCTCCTGTTGTTGACTCCGTGCGTATGTGTTGTTTTCTGCTTTCGGCAAACACGTGTTGCCCATCTTTACACTTGGCTGCACCGCGCTGATGAGGTCAATTACCAGAAACACGTGTCCACCGTTTGCCCCCTTTTTTTGGAGTGCTGTGTCCACGAATAAGGATTTTAAGCTTTATAACTCCTATTTATTATATGCGAGAACTTTCGACAGCTGGTCGTGCTTTCATCTTCAAGGCTCTACTCAAATTGAACGTTTCATCCCCTTGTTTCTTCTTTTATCCGGTCAGAACGGTCAAAAATAAGTTGATAGTTGAATGCAAAACAACTGAAATATACTAACCTATCCAATGGAGGAAGAGACCTATTTTGAATGGCAGGTATGAATTTTTCCAACATGCTCGATGTGTATTGAGATCTGTAAAAACCAATGGTGCCAGGATTGAGTTTGATCCAATCAGATGGCTCAACTCCGGGTACAAAAATTTCAGCACTTGGAGTTTTGAGAACTATGGTCTTTGCTTCTTTGGAAGGGTTTTTAGAGGTAGATATGGAAAGTGGTATCATCCAGAAGTGGTTTTCATTCTCATCTGTGCCATCTGCTGTGAATTTTTTCTGAGTAAGTGTTAAAATGACACCTTTGTCACCCTCTGAAAAATAAAAATCGTTATCAATATTTCAGATAAAATATCAATGGAATTCAATACTACAACAATAAATAAACTATAAGGACCAAGAGGAGCCGTGGATAATCCTGTATGAGCTGATTTTGGCATGCTCCATACCGAAGACAAATATGGATACAATCAGAAAGTAGTGAAGTGACTTTGAAATAAGAATAAACTTCATTCTCTTTGATAGCTCAACATTCCTACTACAGAAATACTCTGTACAAAAAAGTATTGTGATTGTGACTGAGCTGTTGTTTGTGACCTAGACGATGCTGTCACGTTTTGTTTTTGTACAGTTGATACATGCATTAAAGTTCCTTCTTCAAGTCTACTACTAGTTTCACTGTATTCTCTGGTCAACAGATTACTGGGCTCGGAATTCCGAAAATATCACTGATACCAGAAACAATTCATGGCAAATAAAGGATATTCTATTCTTTTCTATTCTAACATGACTCAACCTCTGACGGAAGCACCAAACTTTTACGAAGGTTCGAAATAGATGAAATTCTTGTGTTATTTCAAATAAATAAAAGCACTTCATACAGATATTGCTATCAAGACTTGTTCTGTGGTACTTTAACAGTTTTACAATAGTAAGATTTAGGAAACTCGCTTCTGGTAGACTTTGCCAAGAATTGAAGACTATCTGGACCATTGACTTCCAGGTTGTTTACTCCTTTGTTCAATCTACTACATTATGCGTACATTTTTATAATAATAATATCGCCTTTATTATTTCATAACCAAAACACAACATAACTTATATATTCAACTTACAATTGAAATAAAGGGCGAAGTTCCTCGTCCGTAATGAAATACATCACAGAAAATGTTCTTATATATGAAATAAAGACGATTCTTACCTGCTGGCCGGCTTGTTACTTTAACTACTGGAAATCCCAGTTGTGTGGTCCAAGTCGACATAATTTCCGCTATTGGTTTACTACTTGCTTCAGTCAGTGCAGCCCAAAGGTCCTCAGTGAATGTATTATTATATTGATGTTTGACCAGGTACAAATGCATTCCTTTTCTGAAATCATCATCACCAATAAAATGGTGTATCATTCTAATTACAGATGCTCCCTTGTGATAACTTATATCATCAAAAATTTCATCAATTTCAGCTGGATTACCAACAGGTACTTCGATGGGATGAGAGTTTTTCAGGCTATCCAATTCAAGAGCTTTTATATGAGAGTCATTAACAAACTGTGTCCATATGTCATATTCTGGAAAGAGGAAGTTGACACATAAGAATTCCACAAATGATGCATAGCCTTCATTAAGCCATAAATGGGTCCACCATTCCATTGTAACCAAATTCCCAAACCACTGATGCGCAAGCTCATGTCCAACCACAAGTGCTATCCATTGTTTACTTACAGCTGATGAATTTTGTGGATCTACTAAAAGGCAGGTTTCTCTGAAAAAAATATATACATAGTTAAACAGGGTGTCTCATATAAAACTCCGCGGGCAAATATCTAGTAAGTAAGTAATCTTCATTATAGGATACATCCTAATCTTACAAGACATAATAACTAATTAACAATTTAAATTTCCACAGTGCAAAAAATATTAATAAAATTCAAATCTGTATATAGATAATAACAATAATGAAGATAAACTAAATAAAAAGATAATAATAAAAAATATACAATTTATAATACCCAATGTTGAAAACCAATATTGATATAGTAACTATATATAATATACATATNTTTTTTTTGTCTTGTCTCGTAAATATGCGTTTTGCGATGTATGTCAAAATGGCCTGGATGATTGATAATAAATTTTATCGATTCATATATATAGATTGCTGACACAGTAAGTAGTTTGTTGATTTTAAAGGCTCCTCTGCAGGAATCTCTTGTATTTATATTAAAGATTATTCTGATAATTTTTTTTTGACATAGGAAAACTCTATTAAACCCATGACATGAGCCCCAGATGATTATCCCTTGTCTCATAGCGGAGTAAAAATTCGCATAATATACTGCAACTAGTGCTTCAAGATCAACATTTTTTTTAGAACTCTCATGGCGTATGTTACCGAGGATAGTATTGTAAAATAAGCTATGTTATTTCAAATCAATTTTGTTACACGGGTGAAAGGACTTTGGTCGATAGCCAGCTGAGCAAAATTGTAATTTTGTTCAATAAATTACAATTATTATTATTCCTACTTACACTACAAATCAGATATATGTTGGTTGAAGTAACACACTCTTCATGGACGAAATTGCAGCTAACAAAAAGAGTTGCAATCTTGTAGGACACACCACATGTTCCATGGCCAACATTACTAGTGTTCTATTTTTAAATATTCACGACACACTAGTTAACATGATGTTAAGTTTGCTCATCATAAAATGATACCGCTAGATGAACTCATAACTATGAGAAAAATACAAACCTATAAGTTACAAGGCCCCAGTTTTCCATGGCACCTGCACAAAAATCCGCAATAGCAACCAAATCAATTTTGGGTAAAGGATAAGCTATGTTAAAGTATTCCTTGTAATATGGTAACACTTTTGTGGCCACTCGAAGAGCAAAATTTCCTTGTTCCTTTTTTCCTCTGGGTGTGTATACTCTTACTAAAACCCCATCACTTGATGTGTCTTCTACAAAGTCATACTCACCTATCACTATGGCTACTAAGTATGTGGACATGAGAGGAGTTTTTTCAAAATCATATCTAAAACAGAAAGTATATTAAATCCAGATCCAGAAACCCTACAAATGACATAAAATGGGCCCGTTATATTCCCACCTTAATTAATTTGTTCATTCATTAACCTTCAGGAACATTGACAATGGTTCATTGAAAAATTACAAAACTATACTAAAAATTTATTGAACTATAGTAAAATCAGTCTCATATTAAAAACACATGTCACTCAAGGCAATATACAGACATATCTAGGTATGTAAAAATAATAATCTAAAATATCTAAATAAAATGATACATACATCAATGAGCATTTATATATAAAAACATTTGAAGTATGTACTTCGCATAACTTTAAGTTATGTTCAACTGTACAAGCTTTTTGATACACAGTGTCACTGTCGAAAGTAGAGAATAAAAAGCATGTTTTAATACAGAGCAGTGGTCATAGGGCAAATGTGAAACTCCTGGTAATTATAGTAGTATCTCTGTATTAGTAAATACTTCACTGTATTTTGGAATTTTATATCGCTAGTAATCTGCTTAATTTTTTGTGGTAATTTTGTTGTAACGATGCATTATATATACTGCACTATAGTGTGAAGAATCTTTAACGTGAGTTGATCTATGCTGAGGGATTTCCAAAAAATTACCACTTCGTGTGTTGTAATTATGGTTTCAAGCATTTGTCAAGAGTGATAAGTTATGTCTAGCAAACAAAATGCATTTCGTGATATAGATGGAAGGTACAGCTAGTAATATTTTACTTTTGTGGAATAAAAGTGCCAGTGAAATCTCTGGCTTTGCCCCAAATCATAATGTTAAGACTAAGAGGGGAGTAGGCCATCACATAATATAGGTTCATCAGCGCTACCTCAACTAAACTGAACTTCAGTTGTATTATGGATATTATGCCTTATTCAGATTGGAACAAACACTACCTATTTGCTTGTCCCAAGTCAAGTTGGAGTCCAAATATGTACCTAAGAATTAAACTACATTCAAGGTTTGGATATAGTCAATTGTGGGTCAATATTCTTTTAACCTTAACCTATATGTACACTAAATTAATTAGAAACGGTTCATTACAAGCCCAACAAGTGATAATAAAATACATGTGATCCAACTCTCCATCCCAGCATTAATTCCAAATAAAAAAACAAATATGAAATCATCACATTTCTAAACGTTCAACAGCTTTTGAGTTATCTGTCTATCACCTTTGAATCACCATGTATAGTCAAAGTAACTGCTATTGTGCATATTTAAAGTGTCGGCGCCCTCAAAGACAAAAAAACCAACACAAAGAGATAAAGCTGCTGCCAACTAGTCCACGTGGACTGAAGAATTGGCGGTTCGTATTGGATGATTTTTACTAACCGAGTTTTATGATTGGCTGAAGAGTCATAAAATCAAATTTTGAAGTCATGTTACGGTCACGTATAGAACGCGAGCCGTCGTGTTGTCAATGTTCAGTTCAGGAACTGATCGCGATTTGAGTGTTGAAATTCGATATTGGTGCAGTTATTACTTAAAATTTTTGTTATTTGTTTAAAATGTGGCGTCCTTGGACAAGAACTAATAGTAATAACGAGTGTGATAACAACGCAGACTTTTTCCTGTGTACTGATTCCAATAGCGATGGTGGATAATGCAAAAAAGATACCAGTGAATAAGATTCGGATGCATTTGAATACTGAAACAGAGAGATTATGTTTCAACGTATATAAGTTTGGTTTCGAGGGAGACAAACTATTATAAGCAACATCAGATTTAACTGAAATTCCTTTCCCAACTGTATGTAAAACCCTAAAATAGTCAAAAACAAACCTTATGAACGCAAGACGCGATGTGATACAGGATTACCAAAACCTTCAGATGTTCATCTAGTAAAAATAATTTTATCTGAAGATGAACTTTTGAAATTCACTACTTGAACACGATCTGATAGATATGACTTAAACCACAATAAGATGTTTCCTATAAATCCGTAGATTTCAAGTTTTTGAAGCGATATTTTGTGATCAACACAGTCACATGAATTTGTCAGATCACAAAATACTGTCATGTCAGCCTCACCAACATTCAGTTGAAGGTAAAGTTCTTCTAAAAAAGCAAACATTGCATCATTTGTGCTTTTGAGGCTTGAAAGCCATATTTTTCAAGTTTTTGAAGCGATATTTTGTGATCAACACAGTCACATGAATTTGTCAGATCACAAAATACTACCATGTCAGCCTCACCAACATTCAGTTGAAGGTAAAGTTCTTCTAAAAAAGCAAACATTGCATCATTTGTGCTTTTAGAGGCTTGAAAGCCATATTGATTGAAGTGAAGAATATGATTTTTGTCAAGAAAATTTAGGATTCTCTTTTTCATTAACTTAATTTTTTTATGCCAGAGAGGATTTCTTTTATTTCCTTTCCAGAGGTTGAGGAATAGTTGAATGAGTTCGATATGGCTATATGCCTAAGGTAACTCATTGGGTTCTCATCTGTTGATTTTTTTTTGCTATTTTTTGGGCAATTGAGTGCATAAATTCAACTGTCGCAAATACAGCAACGACTTTGATTTCAAAATTAGCGCCTCATATACTGGTTCCCAAGTATAAATTGTTCAATTCAAATATGTGCTTTAATCAGAAATTGCAATTGCCCAGAAATTTCCAGATGAATAATTATTTCACTAGTGGTAAAAAAATTCAATATCTGCTTGCTTTTCAGGAACTGCAAATGACGTCAGTCTTGAACGTGATTAGGCAGAGAAGCAAAAGTATTGTGACGATTGAGGTGTATTTCATTTGGGGTTGACATGTTTGACATGGAATAACCCATATAAAATATAATATGAGGGGAAACAGTTACATACCTGGGTCAATGATTATGGATGAATTCAATATGAGAATGTCAAATGTTGTGTCAATAAACACTGTAAGACGATTTTTATATTCTATTTATCATGGTGATCTATATTGTTTTCAATATATCAGCCATCTTCAAAAATTGCCTTTTAACTTAACGTGGTTCAAAATGGAGTATTTTGGTATTCATATAATCAATTATCTAGCACAAAAATCGAATGCACTCATCAAAAAGTTACTTGAAAAAAACATCATATGTAATTTTAATGTTCCAGAACTTTAGAGTTTACCAAAAAATAATCAAAAAACCTTCAGTTTGAGACCTATCAAATTTTCCATTAATGCACCTAATAGTAAACTCTCAAATTTTATGACAAAAATTTAAACTGAAGCATTTAATGCAAATAATCAATACTATAAAGAAGATTATATCCAATGTTCAAATTTCATGCATGTTTATTATGTAAAATTGAATAGACAATCTATAAATATGAAAATTAAGAACAATGCCAAATCAAAACAGTGACAATATTCACATATATTCGGAGTTACAGTAAATTATGACGTACCTATATAATCCTTTCATTTTGTCATTGATTTCTCCAGTGAAGGCAATGTTCAATGTATAAGTACCAGGAGAAAGGGGGGAAGCCATTTTCAAAGTCATTGTTTCGTCTTCTGGACATATTTCCACTGTATTCGGTATACTCTCTTGATTATTTGTTACCTTTACAGATTCAAATGATAAGTCTAGAGCATTAAGTACTACATTATCAGTACTTTTCACAACCTGAAAATAAAACAAAGAAATTATAATTAAATTACATATACTAATTTCGATTATATTTTTGTTCAAACAGAATAAATCAAGATTTATATCATTTTCAGGTTGGATTCACTTTTTCCCTGATAGTGGTAATTATGACCTACATTGCTTTTCCCTAGCTTTCTGCTTTGTTTAAACCTACTTTTTTATTGAATCTTTGGCAAATTAATTCGATGGTCTCTTTGTGGATACATCAGTATTGCCGCTGAAAAATAAACATATTATAGGGTACTGAAAACTGACCTCAATTTCAATGGTGACATCTCCTTGAAACGTCAACAATTTCAGATTTGGTGTAATAAATAACTTGTAGTATTTGGGTTTGATGTTTTCTGGTAACCTCTTGAATATTTTTCTTTCAGACATTTTTCCCAGGGGTTTCTGATTAACAAAGTTGAAATAATTTCTCGAACATCCAAACTCTTGCACAACTGATACTTGTAAGGAGTGATACCCGCAAACAAAAGTCGGGCAGTATTTCTTGAATTTTGACAGATGATTGCAAGGTTTCTTTATATTTTTGAACAGTTTATCAGAAGTGTACGATTTTTTATCACGCCTTAGGAAAAAAACGCGAGAGAAAAATTTTCTACTAACTACACCACATACTACATTCACATTAATGTTTAAAAGCCTCGTTGACATTGACATGTCATAAAACACAAATGACAATTGTCTTTTACGTGACCTACTGAAAAATTGGTTAGTCTATGTCTATATAATATACAAAGGAATCAGTCTCATAGGTTTTCTCGATTGGTTATGATCAACGGTTGGCTTAATACTAATTACTAAAAGGATTATATTATGATTTCTCAAATTTTTACAGAAACATACAAGTTGATGTCACTTTCACGTCCACCGTGAAATCAAACGCCAATCGAAAATGCTTCAAGTCTCGTTTATGTAAGGAACGACTTCAATTTCGAAGTTGAAATTCTGTAAGCGTAGAAGTACCACGTATTCTTATTTTTTCTTGGAAATCATAAATTTAAAAACCCGAAATTTCGACTTTAAACCCGAAATTTTAACTTCAAACCCGAAATTTTGACTATAGTCTAGAAATTATGACTTTATACTCGAAATTTCGAGTTTTGAACTCGTGATTTCCAAGAATCAAATATCTAAAATTGTGAGGGCTTCCTTATATATATTTTTTCTCTGATCTAGCAGTACCACCACCCTGTTCCAGATGCTGACGAGACAGTTCTAACAGGAGCAGATATCTTCGAAGCTTCGCATTCCAAGTCAGTCAGATTTCATTCTTCAAAGTAATGACACGTATAATTTCATACATTTTGTATTTCTATAAAAATATGTTTAAAATCTGTTTTTCCGTTAACCAGCTGTAGCACCCCTACGAACGACAACCCTCAGAAGTCGAAACTTGTGCGAGCTAAGGATGAACGAGGTCTTATCTTTTAACGTGTGATTCCTAACATGGGTTGGAAAATAGCAAGTGAAAATCGATCGTTCAGACTAGGGCTTGAACTACCGACCAACACGGCAGTCAATTCCAGTGAGTGAACAAAGCACCCACGTCGAACCGCCTGGCTACAGACCGACCGACCAGATATTTTATTTTCTGTACCAATAAAAGTGTTTTTAAAAAGCAAACTTGGTGCTGCCAATACTTAATTTCAGCCTTCGAAAATATTTGAAAATCCTGTCTTATTGCACATCTACAACATAAATCGAACCCACATACAAAGTTTCAGCCTTCTAAAATATAGCAGTATGGAGAAACAGTGATAAAAAGTAATTTTCATATGTAAACGCACCCCCCTCTTACCCCCACGGGGGGTTCCCAGTTGGATTATCTTAGAGTCCATCTAATACCTAAAAAGTATCTATATACCAAATTTTAGCTTCCTAGTTCTTAACGGTACGGAGAAACAGAGATGAATGAGTGAGTATTAAGTGGGTGACTTTCGCGTTCATAAGTATAAGATCTACAACCCTTTTTTTCATTCTAAATCATTCTTTTTCATAGGATTTTATCCGAGGTAGCATTTCGGGGAAGTGCAATGCTTCGTCGCTGCTTCGAAGTATATTCCTCATATGTTTCAACTCCCTATAAAAAATATGCCTGAAGAATAAAATAAAAATGACGATACTGCAAATACGAGTATCACTCAGGCTTACAGCATGATCATCAATTAGTCGAAGTTGTAGTCCCTCGAATGAGCTGGTATATGGCACATGGCACCAAGACAGCAGAGTCACGAGAGAAAAGAAGAAGAAAAGGGCTGTGAAAATCCATCATTAATCTGTGCTGATATGAGAGTTTCGGATTTTGCGTTGTATATTGTATCATAGTATAAAGATTTACTTTAAACTATCATATATATCATAGTATAAAGTATTATCTTTATACTATGATTGTATGTAAATATATCCCGTTCCCTGGGAATGCACCCTGTAAAAATGTGCAAAATTGGACACTATCTTCTTCTTCTTTTTCCATTAATAAATGGACACTATTTTGTTTTACCTTTGACACGTTAAGACTCCATCATTTGGGAAGAAACTAACGTAGAGCAGAAATACTAAACTGGGCATGCGCATAGGTTCTGTCACAAATAAGAAGAAGAGGGCATTTTCAACTATTTTTGAACACTATTGGGGTATATGGTCTGTGATTGTCACATTGTCCAACTAATTTGAACCAAAGAGTACACCAATTAATGTACTCTTTGATTTGAACACAATTGAAACTTTATTATTAACAATACTGCTGAAAACTGATTGTGTTGTGATATCGATCGGTAAAATTTCAAATGGAGCCTGTTGATAATTACTTCAAAAAAATCGAGGAGTGGATTGAGGATAATGAAAAAATTGTAAGGATAATGATTGAGAAAAATATTCCACTGCAATTATGACCTTTTGTTTATATATGTATGAAATTACTTTCAGTATTTGTATACTAAGAACATTTATTAATTGTGTTGAAACCAATGTTTTCAGGTTTTCATTTGTGGAATTAGGTACATTATTTGTTTTTTTTTCAAAACACTTGTAGATGACTTAATTACGTATCCGTGTTAGGAATCACACGTTAAAAGGTAAGACCTCGTTAGTCCTTAGTTCGCACAAGTTTCTCAACTTCTGAGAGTTGTCGTTCGTATGGGGGCGACAGCTGATTAACGAGAAAAACAGATTTTTTAAACAGATATATGTCCGATTCGTCCGTTGAAGCAAATAACTAAAAATATGGGGCAAACTATTGAAAAAATACTTTGGCAATTTAAATGATGAAATATAGTAATTTGTAACACAACTCTCATTCTGAAATCAATACAATCATAATAATACCTGAAACACAAAGTTTGACAACTGTATGTTCAGTGATATATCCCAAACTGAGTTTTCCATCAAGAAAAAAAAAACAGTAAGATCCTCTTTGGCATCTCCAATTCGAACTCCTCTTGGGTCCCTATAAAATAATTTTGTTTTTGTTATGTGTTGGAATTGGCTAATACTCAACGAAAATCCATAAGATATTCAAATAACAGTTCATTCATTATGAGATTTTCACTGAATTTGTTCATGTTGTAGAGTAGGTAGATGTTGCCCGATTCAATACTTTCAGACATGCTCTAAATATCAGAAAATGTTAGGGGACATTTTTTGAATGACAAGCAGCACATTCAATAGGGACATAAACAGGGGTCAACCGTTTATATTGTCAGCTTCAAACGGCCCAGTTCATAGAAATTCCTTTTTAGGGCCTGTCAGTTTTAACTTGAAGGCTATTTTCACCGATTCCACCTATGAGTTCCAACTGTCATTCATGTGTGGTGCTACAAAACAACTGAATTTGAAAATTATTTACATCACACCCTATTTTTCTGGAGTATCTTCCTGACTGTTGTAATTGAAGAGTATATTTTGAGAGAATTCCTCAACTTGATATGAATTGACCTGGCATGTAGGTTTCTTACCATTTTTCCCGATGATCTCATACCACGTAGTAACAGCTCGATCAATCAATTTATTTAATTTTTCAATTTGTAGGCAGAATTCATGAATACAAGTTACTGACTAATTGGGCTCTTCAGTGGTTTATATTATGCAGTAACTTTTCGGGGGAACTTTTCCGTTTGCCCTTAATTACAATTCAGCAGATTCTCTATTGATTTAGCTTTGTTAATTTTTCAGATTTTAAGTAAAAAATACTGTAGTGCACATAATGTTAGAAAAATGTATAGAAACTCCTCTATAACAGGTGACACATCTAAACCCAAAAGAAATGTGATTGTATTGTTTTTTACTTTCATAGAACCTAGAATTTTCGTTAGATTTGTTTTCGGGACAGGAAGAAGAAAGTTTTTATTAATCTTTTGTTGGGTATTACAGTTCGAAGGTTCCTGAAAGCTTTGAAAAGACAACTCTAGAATTATAAGTCGGGTGGAATAGGTTAACTAGGTTAAACTGAGTGTTCATGTCGTTAGTTGATAGTTAAGTGATCAAATTCTACTGTGAGAATGTAACTTGTTTAAATTTTTCTACTATCTGATGATTACTCAATGAATTGAAGGCATCATTTTATTTGCTTTTCAGGTAACTGTTCCCTATCTAGCAATGACTTTTCATTTGTCAATACAAAATACACAAAAGATTGTGGAGGAGTTCGTAGACAGTAGAAAAAAATTGAAACAGTGTGACATAACAGTCACTTATATTCTACGAGGATTTCTCAACAGCTCTAAAGGAAAAGGAGTCTTCATAGTATCGGAGTTCAGCCTACCAGCGAAGAGAAAGTTATTTGAGAAAGTGGAGGATGAAGTTATATTCAGTATACAGAAGAGTAAAAACATAGACTTCAATGTAATTTCCCTTGTTGCTGACTTGGGATGTATAGGAATTTCAAGAAGCAGCTCACTGTAAGCTACATACTAACTTGAAACACTTATAACTGCATTTTAACATAAATTGTTTGCTTTAAGAGATGGTATGCATTTTACTGATTCATTTCTCAAAGTGAACTTCAGAGCTTAAGTGATGTTTCTCTGACAACAGGTAGTGAATCATACGAATTATTTGATACTAGGTTCTCCTTTTGAATTTTTATAAAGAATACGAAAAGATTTTTTTCTAGCCTAAACTTTTTAATCGTTTTTCAAAACATTCGCCTTTAGGATGGATATATTTTTGTATGCATTCAAACTAATTATCCAAACAGTTTTTTCACTTTGCATATTTCAAAAACATAGTTATGGAAAACTTCCAACAGTTTTTTGAGGCTATGAAAAATGGTGTCCACGTATTTTTTGTCTGATACAGGAGGGCAAAAATGAAGAATTTGTGAAAAACATTTTATTTATTTATTTACTTATTTATTTACTTTTTACTCCTACAAACACAATATTGAATTGTAATTAAAAGTAAGAGAGATAAAACTACAGTAACAAAATAAGCTTAAGAACTACTAACTAAAATAAAACAAAACAGTAAATATAAAAGGAAACAAAAAAGAAATCAAATAAATTATCACAATTTTTAAAATGTATACAAGTATCTATAAATTAAGTTACCCAATACCTAGAAATTAATCCGGCTGTGAGAAAAAGTAGGCCCTTATCTCTTTGGCATTTGTTTTAGGAAAAAGATCCACGGTGCTATTTTCAGTTAAAATGTTGCAATGATTTAGCATACGGGTGATTGGCGAGTTATCAGAAAAGCCGATAAAGAATATTCTCTTGTCCTGTCTACGCAGGTTTACCTTAGGCACCAACAATTTTACATAGTTGACCAGAGATGATCCCTTGTACTTTACATTATTAATTATATAGTATACAAAAAGAACATCCTGTAATGCACGTCTGCTCTGTAAAGTAACAATGTTAAATTCCTTGCTTCTGTAAGACACCATAATGGGATAGCAGCCATAAATTTTGACATAAAGATATCTAAGAAATCTTTTTTGAACTTTTTCAATCAAATCTGCGTTGGTCTCTCCCTGTGGTGACCAAATAACAGAAGCATACTCAAGATGAGGTCTAACTAGAGCATTAAATAACTTTACAATACACCCAACATCTCTAAAGTTTTTTGTATTTCTAATAACAAAACCAAGAATCTTATAGGCTTTGTTGACAATATATTCATAGTGAGTGTTGAAAATAAACACCTAAGTCCTTACACTCAGACTTACGCATAAGTGGAACGTTTTCTACTTTGTAAGAAGCAGAAATATAGTTAATTTTCCTTGTGAATGTTATAACTGAGCACTTATCGATATTTAAGAACATTTTGTTACTTTCAAACCACCTGCAAACCGAATCAAGATCTTCCTGCAATTTCATGCAGTCTTCTAGGCACGTTATTAGCTTAAACAGCTCAAAATCATCTGCGAATATAAGGCAAAATGAGTGTAAAATGCAGTGAGCTAGGTCATTGATGAAAATTATGAAAAGAAAATCCAAAATCACCAAGTTTCTTTAATAGTATGTTATGATTAACTTTATCAAATGCCTTTGCACAATCAGTCATGATTGAATCAAGTTGCTCCTTTTTATTAATAGCTTCAGCAGCAGATTGAGTGAATAAAAAAAGTTTCGTAGCTGTAGATCGATCTGGGAGAAAACCGTGTTGTTGTTCTGCAAATTAAAATTTAAAATGAGTGTAGATTGTTTCGAAAATTTTAGCCAATGTATTCATAATACTTATTGGCCTGTAGTTTTTAACTTGATTTTTGTCACCAGATTTGAAAATTGGTGTAACAATTGACATTTTTAAAGCAGAAGGAAACACTTTACATTTAAGAGATTCATTAAATAGATAAGTTAGAGGTTGTACAAGAAAGTCACTTGTATCAATTCCATAAAGGAATGGTGGCGAACATGCCTTAAAAGATGTTCTTCATGAAAGTGCTTCATAAACACTTTCTGTGAATTCACTTCATCTTGAAATACGGAAACTGAGTACTACTGAATTTTCATTTGTTTTGTTACCTGTAATAGTACTGAAGCTCCTAAGTTGAATTTTTTGAGCATTTACACAAAATAATTAACACGAGTCTTGTTCTATTTTCTCTCAGTGAAAACCTTACTATTGTACAAAAATGTCCAATCTCTTGGAAATAGCACTAACATGATGCAAAAAATTAGTGACGGCTTGAAATGCCCATTGGTATGCATTACTGAACCCCAATAAACACAAAATGGTCAGAAATCACTGAAATCACACTCTTTTAAAGAACACAACCAAGTGTCTAGTTATTGTAGAGGGGAATACCAATATAGAGGCTGATCTGTATGCATTTCAGAAGACTGTCTGATAGATGAGATGAGAGTCAATTTAGTTTCTATCTACACGGCACCATCAGGGAATATTGAGCAGTTCTTGAATAAATTTCAGTACTTGCTAAATATTTTATTTTCAAAAACTATATATATTATACCAGGTTATTTAACATTTATCTTGTTTTGAAAGTAAGGCTTCCAAAAACTTCAGAAATGTGTTAACTAGTTACAATTCTACCTTATAACTAAACTGACGAGAGTCGCTCCTCAATCTAGTACCTTGATAAAATCATAACAAATTTTTAAGGTAATAAGGAACTGATAGTCATGGAAACAAGTATTTCGTATCAAGACAAATGTTCCGAACTAGGAAACTGTACAAAACCCAACAACTTTTGATGCTTTATATAGCTCAGATTAGACCTTCTTTGGAATATTATTCACATGTATGGTACTTTTACACTCTTCTTGGTTCTTCACATTTTGTCTTCAATTGAGGACCGCCTGCCTGGTACTGATGATGCCCAACAGGCTGAAACAGCTGTCTACCGGTGTCTACTGTCTACCAGTAATCAAATTGGGAATGATCAGAATAGTACTCATCTTTATCTTTTGATTTTCATGAAATTATTTTGAAGTTGAAGTAAAACCATCAGGCACCTGTTCGAAATATTTGTCGCAAGTAACTTCCTATATTGTAATAAATGACCGTCGGGTCTGAATTGGCGATTCCTATATACTACTAATGATATATAATAATTATCTCAAGTGTACTCGCATCAGAAAAATACACCCTTCTGTGTATGAGATCATTCAGCCGAAGATATTTATTTTTTTATTATACAGATTGAGAATTAGTGGGCGACTTTGTCAACAGGTGAATTTTTCACATTTCTATCTTCATAGAGCAATGGCTTGATTTTGTCATCAATTATATCATCAGAGACTGGATTAGGTCATGGCTTTAATGTGTGGTCTTTTAGGGGTTTGAGGGAATTAAATAATATTAGCAGAGTTTCCACAAACCAACTTTATTGATGAATAAAGTCGGCGGAATATTCTTTTATATCTGATTCAAGATTATTCCTCTGAAAATTGAACTAACGTCACTCAGGACATAGGTATCCCTTGCCTGAATTCTACTAGATCTGCTATAAAAACAAAATGAAATACAACTCTGATTAACTTTTAGGAGACCCACTTAATCGTTCCTCTCTGTATAACATAGGAAAATACTATAACCTAATAATGAAGTAGGGAACCCGATTCGTAGCTATATGACAAATTTTCAACAATACCCTAGGTGCCAATTTGAAAATATAAAACACATACACATGCAATAACATATAGAATATAGATCAGAATTTTTTTTAAATACGCTCACCAAATTAACGTAGGGGGACTCTCCTGAAGTCTTCAACAAAAGCCACTCTTTCCCAAAAACTGTCCCAAACTCTCACCAGGAACTCGTAAATGTTCTCTAAATCAACTAAATTGAATCAAACTGCGATTACTGTCAAAACCCAATATCACTTCTCTAAACAGTGACTTGAAATATCTCAATATTTCAATTCACTCAAAACTTCCTCTAGAATTTCCAGCTATTGTAGGAAATTCAACTGGATTCACCAAATCTCCGCAAACGACTGCCTTTACCTCAATTCAACTAAACCGCGAATATTTATCAATCCGGAAACACCTCGCAAAACGGTGACCTGAACTACCTCGTATTTCAGTACCTACAGAATTCACACAGCACTTCGTAGGAAGTCCAACCAACCTACTTCTGAGTTTGTACGCTCCTGACTTTTTACCTCAAGTCAGCTAGCCAAATAAACCGCGAAAATTCCTCATTACTGGAATCCCTCGCAACCAATGTCTTAAAACACCTAGCACCTCAGTCCCTTCAATAGCTTACCCAGCAACCTCTCCAAAGGGCCCAACCGCCCCAGACTGACTTAATTCTTTCTCAAAAGTTTCCATCTCCACTCTGTAATTCAGATAATCTCATAAAAATTCCCATGAATCAGAAAGTCTGAAATTGTTTCCAAGACTGGTACTCTTAACGTCCTCTACATGTCCAGCGAATAAGTCCGCAAGAATTCCCGACTGGTCCCCGATATTTCTAATGTCGTGAGCCTGCTACTGATATGTAGATGTCACTGCAAGGGTTATTTTGATATTTTCTCTATCTCGAATAAGAGGTATGTAGACTATCCCAGACGGATTCATTAATTTTATCATGTCGTTAAAATTAAAGCTGGCAGTTTGAACTCATAAAATAAATTTCGATATTTATTATACTTTCAAGTACTTCTTGACAGTTATTCTAAATGGGGTACACAGACTGAATAATATATTTTCTACCCTCAACGACAGGATAATGAAATGAATGATGAGGTTGGATGTTCTGAAATATCAGATTTCTTAAACATCGAGCTGTTAATTTTAACGACTTTTCCTTTGAATGGATTGGCTCTAGTTGACCTAAAATCATTTCTGAAAGCTTATAAAGGTTCCCTTGTGTGATATCCTCGAAGAGACTGGCAAATTGGGTCTTGTTATCACTTTGCACGACTTTAGGGCGTCCAAACCGTGTGATGACCTCTTTATATAGCGCTTGGGTAACGGCTTTAGCGGTAGCGCTGCGCGCCGGCCGACATTGCATCCATTTGGAGAAGCGGTCCTGGAAAACTATCTCCACAAAAAATGACTTTCGTTCAGTATGAATAAAATATCATTTATTGGTATAATCAACCTCAATAAATTCAACTAGGAATTTTTTTGAGTTGATGCATGAAATCACTGTATCTTTCAGACAGGGTATTTTTCCAGATGTTTGGAAGGTTGCTAATATAATTCCAATTCCGAAAAAGAATGCACCTACCACGTTCAGTGACCTACGCCCTATCAGCATTCTGCCCTCATTCTCTAAAATATTCGAGAAAAATGTTTTCCTTCAAGTAAGAGCTTATCTTGAAGAAAATCGAATACTCCCGTAAGAGCAGTCTGGGTTCCACAAAAAACTGCCCTCTTGAAAGTAATCGACGATCTTGAGAGATTCAGAGATCAATCAAAAGTCACCATTTTAGTACTGCTTGATCGAAGTGAAGCTTTTGATTCAGTTGATTTCGATTTACTCATCAGCAAGCTCAAGTTCATAGGATTCAATGACATTTCTCTTGAATGGATGACCAGCTATCTCACAGGCCGATCACAGAAAAAAAAAAGAAACTAGTTAAAATTAAGTGTTAATATTAAGATTAAACATAGATACATACATGTGAGACTATTAGTTTAGGTTGGGTTTATGACTGCTCAGCGAGTATACATCATCAAGCCCCTGTTTATCACACAAGTTTCATATTCCTCTAGTGAGTAGAAAGCGTTGTCCGTCAAGAAGAGTTTAATAGTGAATTTAAAAACGTATACATGGTTGCATTTTTTAACTTATCTGGTAGCACATTATATATATAGTTATTGGCCCCGCGGGTATTGTGTTCGTGGACACCGGATTGCAGAGTTAAATTCGGCAGGTTCTTATGTATTTCCAGTAGTGTGCTCAAAATAAAGAGAGATGGAACGGTCATAATTTTCAGTGCTTTATAAAGTGGTCTGCATGTATCACGATAATTAGCGTTGGAGATGATTCTTACAGCCTTTTTTTGTAGTATGAATATTTTTGGTGCCGCTGTTGAGTTTCCCCAAAGTAGTAAACCGTAATTAAGATGGGTTAGAAAGAGGGAAAATAGACGGTTCGTAGGGTGTATGAGTTTGTTCCGGGCCTCAGTTGGCGGATTATAAAGAGTGAGCTGGACAATTTTAGGCTTGACAATGTATGGTAGTGCAATAAAATTTTTAAATTGACCAAAATAATGTTAAGAATATTAAGAGTTATTAATATGATCTATTATTTTTTCTCATCTCTATCATTGTTATGATACTGAATAAGTATTTTTATAATTATTTTCATAAACTCACTGTATAATTTTTGGGAGGGGTGGAAGACAGCCTTTGGCTAACCCTTTTCTTTTTATGTATAAATGATTTTGTATACATAATAAACGATATTATTATTATTATTATATTCACATTCAATGGGAAGTTGATTATAATCTAGAATCTGTATAAAAGAAGTATATTTCAGTAGTTACATTACAAATGTTTTGGAAGCATAAGATTTTTTGAAATCTGGTGTATTTTATAATTTTGTAGATTTAGTGAATGTTTGTGTGAATTTTTCATCTTCATATATGTTTTCCAGATTAGGTTGTATTGTTGGTGATAATTGTTCAAAAAGAAACAAGAAAAAGAAGTCAAGTTTGGCTCCTGTTGAAACATCTGCGAAATCTTCTGAATCAGCAGAAATAAAGAGGAAGATTTGTTCAGAAGTATGTAATATAGATTTCATTAAATTTCTTATGAATTATTTTTACCTGGATTTGAATGAACAGTTACTTTTCACAGGCAGTTCCTAACAGTGGAACAGTTGATGTATCCAACAAGGCGGCAGCTCCTGTAATTAATAAGGATGTACCAAAAACTACAGCAGTAGCTCCTTTGATCAATAAGGATGTACCAAAAACTACTTCTATAAGAGATAATAAATGTAAAAAAGGAAAGAGTGGTATATCCAATTTTTTCAAGGCAGTACCTTCTAAGAATTCCAGTGACATTAAAAGTACTATTGGAAAAGAAGAAAATGCCATGGAAACAGAGGACAATCCTATAAAAGTTGAAAGTGAAGGGAAGGATACATCAGAATCTCCAAGAAGTTTTACAGAAGTTCCTAATGTCGAGAAAGAATTTAGAAATCAGCAGGTATCGCCTACTACATCTAAAACTAAGGAAAAAACAAATAAAAGGAGAAGAAAAGAAAACATGGAAAACAATTCTAAAAAGAGAAAAAGAATTGTTGAAAGGAGCGATTCTGAAAGTGACGGTATGTAACTCTTCTAGTAAATGTTCATTCAAGTACTTTTCTATTTGATATGCAGAATTGGAACCTCAGGCCTAAAATGTATCTAAAGAACACACTTCTGCCACACCAGAGCAAAAACACAGTCTCTGGACGAGGGTTTGGTAACGTAGTTAACATCATGTGTTTTAGCCTGTGTGGGAAAAGTGTTTTTCTCCAGCCAATGCTTTTAGCTTTTAGGCAAAAATCTTTCAAATATCTGTATGTGACATGAGTAGATTTATCTCGTCCACGACAAAAAGTCATAAGGTAATGAATGAAATGATTGTTTCATCTTGTAATATTATCCAGAAAGGTGCTGATGAGGTAATAAAACAAATGTCTTATTCCGAAGTTGCGAAGTCCGCTATCGAAGATGATAGAACTTTTTTATATTATACTAGTACTATGTTGCTGTATTGCTGCTGTTCCAATGTTTTGACAGAATCAGAATCAACGAACTTAGGCGTGCGCAGCGTTATAGAACAGTGCTTTCAAAAAAATTGTTCTACAGCTCCATCTAGTGGCGAGTTACAGAAAAATTGATAGCCTAAAAACCTTCTCTATGAAAAATTACTTATACATGTCAAATTTCATCATCGGTTGAGCGATGTAGAAGTTTTTCACTTACCAACCAACCAACAAACATCCATTTTCATATATTAGATTGTGTAGCGTTCCTATGAATGATATTTCATTTGTTTCCATAATGAATGTTCGTATCGAAGAAGTTGCTTCGAAAGTACATTTCCTTTTGTGTAATGAACTATTCATGTGGTAGTAGTTGTTTCAGGAGGGCTTTTTATTCTAGTTTGTACATGAAAGTAACTTTTATGTTTGGTCTACATATTATCTTTGTGATCTTTGTGAATAGTTTATTTTGAGCTCAGTTGCTTTCTTCCTTTTCTAGGAAGTTTGCCACAATTTTTAGATGAAAAGATGCAGAAGTGAAATCCAAAAGTTTTTTCCCAAAAACTAATTTATTCTAAAAAAATATACCACTTTCAATTTGTACATGTTAAATTGCGATGACACTGATGTTTGTCAGATGAATAGATAGAAATAACCTCAATTGTCAATGCGTCTCAAAATTTCACCTAAAACACTGGCGGTGAGAAATTGTGATAGTACTTATTTACAAGGATTTATTTTTGTGGAAAGACAAAATAGCAAGATCACTGAATCATGTATCTATGTATTATTTAAGTAGAAATTACATTTATCATAAGAGTGCACCACAACAGATATTTTTCGAAAGTTTGCCACTCAATAATCAAATGAGAGTCACTAGAAACTTGAATAGCTATGTCCCACCAATTTGTAAGCTGTTTGTTGGAGTAGTTGTTGAAGCGCTGGACTTGAGTGCAGATAGTTTTGGATTCAATTCTCTCTAATGTGGATTTTTAAATTTTTTTCAACCACTCAATATTCAAACTATTTGAAATTGAAATGACTAACAAAACTAAAAAATATTTGTGAATGCTTTGATATGTTGTTTTTTACTGTGAACTTTGGTGGTCAATGAAATATTAGTCAAGTAGAACGAAATTTCAGTAAACATTTTAAATACCTTCCCGATTCCACTTTGAATACACTAGTGATGGCTATAAATATATTCTTTTCCCTCCGTGAATGAAAACAGCTCTTGTAATTCCTCTTTTCAAAGGTGCTAATGCAGAAGATCCAAATAACTTCAGACCTATCTTCCTCTCCAACACCCAAAAAAATCATAGAAAAATTGGTAAAAAAAATGGTATTAGCCTTTCTTTATAAATACAATATATTAAGCAACTGTCAATTTGGCTTTCAGAAGGCAAAAGAAACAAATGATTCAATCTTTTCCTTTCTTGAACATGTCCACACACATCTTAACAATGGTGAGGTCGTAGCTGCAGTATTCTTCGACTTCTCCAAAGCTTTTGATTGTGTAAATCATGAACTTCTTTTGCAAAAGTTGGACTGCTATGGCTTTAGATGAGTGTGTAATGACTGGTTCAGGTCTTACATAAGTGATAGAAGACAGTAAGTGAGATCAAACTAAAAACCATGACACACTAATGATATCTTATGGGGCGTTCCACAGGGATCAGTGCTGGGCCCGATTCTTTTCCTTGTAAATGACCTTGTTACTCTCACAATTCAAGGAATTTTTACGATCTTTGCGGATGACGCCACGTTCCTTTGGCATGTAAAAATACTTCCAATATGAAAAAAACTATCTCTATTGATTTAGAAGTTGTAAACAAATGGTGTGATGCAAACTACTTGTGCTTTACTATTAAAAGAACAAACCTACTCACCTTCAGCTGTAGCATTAACATTTTATACTTGAATGGACAAATTATTGAGAATGAAAACCAATCCAAATTCCTGGGAGTCTTTATGGATAACAAATTAAAATTTGATAAACATATTTCAGCTTTGAATAAAAAAATTGGCATCAGGATGTTATGCACTTCGAATAGTTTCAAATGAACTGAGTTCATCCACAACAAAATGGTATCATGTTTCATGTTTATGTCAGTATAAATGATAGTTTCTATTCATTGAAAATGATTGAGGAATTATTCAAAACGTTTACTAGTTATGTTTTCTACAAAATTAATATTGTTCCAATTATCACATCTATATTACAGATATGTTTGAGAAGATCGCTGATGATGATATAATAGAAAAATCTGACGATGAACCTGAACCTGTGTTATCGCATGTTAAAAAATCACTAGAACCAAAAAACAAAAGAAGGAAAGCGATTGATAAAACGTATCAGGATGATGAGGGATTCATAGGTAAGAGTAGGTGGATATTTTTGTCCTAGTTCTCGATTTCCCTTATATTTTAATTTCAGTTACAAAGACGGAGTATGTTTATGAAACTGCATCCGAAGACGAAAATGAAGCTCCTAGGGAAGGTAATGGAGAGACATCAAAAGTTGAATCAAAAAAAGGAAATAGTGTTTCTATTAAAGACAATAGTTTGCAAAAAAATAGTGCCAAAGTGAAGACAGAAAAGAAGAACACCAAACAGAATCAGCCGACTTTGATGAATTTTTTCAAGAAGAAATAGTTTGTTTCCTATTAAATTAAGTCTTGTGTTGAGAATAAGCTGATCGCTGCATTTGTAATTTTGAAATAAAATATTCTGTAATGCTTGCTTGTAAATTGTATCAGCAAACAATCATAAGGAAATAAATATTTTGAAACGATATCTTGAGGCAATCATCTCTCCTTACGTTCCTACACAGTAGGATCTGATAAATGCTTGCTATAAAACATTAATTCCCCAGCTAATACCACGATGGACATTGAATTATATTCGACAAACATGGAAGATATCTGACATAGGTTAGACTTGTATAGACCGGTTTAAAGGTACTGTCAACAATGCAGAAAAAATCCGACACAGACAGTAGTGTGTCTGGATCTCGACTACCAGTAAGTCTGATGGAAATATATATATAGATAATATTTCCAAAATAATTTGCTATATAATGGATAACTCATTCAAATATGGAAGGTTTCCTCAACAATTAAAAACTAGTACTCATAACACCAATATACAAAAAAGGAGATTGTGAATTGTTTGAAAATTATAGGCATTTAAGTGTCTTGCCATCGTTTTCTAAACTTTTTGAAATGGCGATGTTTGATAGATTAATTAACTTGTAATCTCTTAAACCCAACTCAACACGGATATATTAAAGGAAGATCAATTGACACAGCAATCATAAAGTTTACTGAAAACATTATCGAGCCATTTGAAAATAACGAAATACTTGGGATTTTCTTAGACCTTTCTAAAGCATATGACTGCCTTAATCACACTTGCCGTGGAAAAATTGTTAGAAAGGGTTGTTTATGAACAATTGATCCTGTACGTAAATGATAATGATATTTTGTCAGAATATCAGTCAGGCTTCAGAGTTGGGCACCGTTGCGGTGCAAAATATCTTATTTGACTGGAAAATGTGGATAGATGAAAATAAATCAATTGGAGCCGTATTCTTTGATTTGCGACGCATAAGATTAATTAATTTCATGAAACATTGTAATCTCTTAAACCCAACTCAACACGGATATATTAAAGAAAGATCAATTGACACAGCAATCATACAGTTTACTGAAAACATTATCGAGTCATTTGAAAATAACGAAATACTTCTTTGGAATTTTCTTAGAGCTTTCTGAAGCATATGACTGCCTTAATCACACTTGCCGTGGAAAAGTTGTTAGAAAGGGTTGTTTATGAACAATTGATCCTGTACGTAAATGATGACGATATTTTGTCAGAATATCAGTCAGGCTTCAGAGTTGGGCACAGTTGCGGTGCAAAATATCGTATTTGACTGGAAAATGTGGATAGATAAAAATAAATCAATTAGAGCCGTATTCTTAGATTTGCGACGTGCCTTTGAGACAGTCGACAGAAAGAGATTACTTTTAAAACTACAATACTATGGAATAACCGACACTATACTGAAATAGTTCACAGACTATTTGAGTGATAGAAAACAATTAACAAAGGTCAATAATATTACCTCCTCCGAAATTATTAATGGTAATGGAGTGCCACAGGGTAGTACGCTTGGGCCCTTACTCTTCTGTATATAAATGACCTTGTTTCCGAGATCTCCGAGTGCAAAATTAGTTTGTTTGCAGATGACACCTTAATATACTACTGTTCTTATAACGTTAATAAGCTGGTAGATACTCTAAATAGTGAGCTCTGGAGAGTTAGTCGATGGTGTAATCTCAACACTCTCAAACTGAATAGTAAAAAGACGAAATTCGTCTTACTGAGTAATAAAACAGGTTATGTCGAAATCAAAAATAGAGGAATAAGTATAAAAATTGCTAATGAGGATATCGAAAGTGTAACAGTGGTGAAGTATTTTGGAGTATTGATTGACCAAGGACTAACATTCAAAGAACATGTATTGAAAGTGATAAAAACTATCACCACTAAGTTACATTTTCCGGTGAGAGTATCGCCTAGCCCCTAGCCTATCTAAATGGTCAAAAATTACAATTAATAATACATTAGTTTTACCACAAGTTACTTTCTGTTCTTCAATACTATTTACTGCTAATAAAAACGAGTTGGATCGACTTCAAAAGCAACAAAATGGAGCCATGAGAATCATACTGGGTGTACCAAGAGACACGCCAATAGTCAACATGTTGAGAGAATTGAAATGGATGTCATTAAAAGACTATGTGTACTATCAAACAATGGTACTGATATATAAGATGCATCACCATTTATCTCCGAACTACTTGAGCAGAAAAATAACATAATGAATATTATTATAATACCAGAATCAACCGAAATATCCATGTAGGAACCAAAAATATGAGGTGTACTGAAAAATCTATTTATCATGCAGGAATGTTGGCTTTCAATAATTTAGATCATAGTATCAAAGATTGTAATTCGATAAATCAATTCAAGGGAGGGTTGAAAATGCACATAATGGGCGAGTGATTTTGATATTGATTTATTGTTATTTCTTGAGTTCAATAACTTCAATACTATTCCAAGGTTTTTAAAGTGTTGTGTTTGTTGCTTTGTATCTTTATCAATACTTTTGTCTTACCTTTGTTGCCCACCTATGTGTAAAT